GAACCCATCTTTTTTGAGCCAGGCTCACCTAAAATTGGACACCTACATTGTACGGAAAGTGCAGTTCAAGACGGGCCAGAACATAGCCTGGCAGCAAGAAGCCTGGTGTAAGTTTTCCCGTCAAGCCGGGCTTCTCAGTAAAGAGTCCGAGCAGGCAAAAGACCTGTAGCAGCCACTGTAAAATTGATTGCCGAAAGGATTCAACAAGCTTGCTTGTAGGTGTTGGAGGGCAAAGGTTCATTAACTGCCTGCTTGGCTCTAAATGGATGTCCGGGCCCACATGCTGGTTGGATGGATCCGGCTTGAAACATTTGCTCCCATTTGTATGGTTGCTCATCCCTCCAAGTGTCGGGTGAGACATTGGTATTCTCCTTCTTCCATTTTTGGCAAACAGGCACAAATGGCGGGAAGATGGCTGAAAACTTATAGCATGGCAAGTGATGAAGTTTTTTGGCCCGAATAACACGGTTGAAATCGCCCAAAGGCTAATTTGTTCGAGGTTCGGGCTTGTATGTCGACGCGTGCTTGACTTGACTCCACGGAAGTCTAGAAATCAATGTCTGACTCAGGCCGGCGCGGACAGCAAACAAAACAAACACACACACACACACACACACACACACACACACACACACACACACACACACACACCATTCTTTTAGGCGCCTGTCCGTCACGAGAGCTTCTGAGAGCTTCTACAAATCCTGTAAACCCAAAAGGCTAGACCAATGTCAGGGCCGCATGTTCACCCTCGGGCACCCAAGCTCGCTGACTGCAGGGGAGCTCAATGGGTCCTGGCAAAACGTGGCGAGGCTCTGTCCAGGTAGCAACTCAGGGATAACGGGCGTGGATCAAAACTGGATCAGTGGCTCTAGCTTGAACACAACCAGGCCCCAGCCACGCATCTTCAACCGAAAACCACTGCGCGGGGGATTGCCAACATCGGGGTTCCTCGAAATTGAGGGAGGGCCATGTACATGATTGTATGCCCGTCAACATAGAAACTGCGGGAAGACTGACTGCCTCCTGCCCACATAATCTATCTGCACCCCCTGCCCCTCCTGCCTTCTCGGAACTCTCCTCTGCTGATCCTCCCAGCATTCGCCTGACGCGGGGCTTTTAAGTGGTTGTCTGGGTTGCCTTGGACACCTTGGAGATGAGCTGGCCTGGGGAAGCTCCTGACTCTTCCGACATGGAACAATCTCGCGGTTGCTCCATGCCAAGTTTCCCAAACTGCCACTCCAGGCTGCCAGAGTCATCCCACTGATTCACATGTGCCAAAGCTCCTTCGGACCTGGTTCTCCAATTGGTCCGCCGCGGTGATAGTTCTCAAAACTCCCGGGGTGGTCACGTCCCTATACTCACTTCCTGAGTGGATCGGTCGGAAAAAGTCCAGACTTTCGGTTTACTACGGCCCCAAGAAGTGCAGAAAGTCCAGGAACTCGGGAAGTTATGGCTGTGGCTCAAATCAATCAGCTGTGCTTCCGCAAGATTTCAGTCTTTGGTTTCCATCTACCAAGGTGCCATCTTGGGTTTTCAGTTTTTTGACCAGCCGTATAAACCAGACAGGTCACATGAGCGCAGCACCTGTCCACGACATCCACGACCACTGCGCTCGACCCAACCGATTCGAAACCACGGTGCCTGGCCAGGCCCAGCATTTCCTGGGAAACCGATGCGATGGGAAACCGATGCGAAACCAACGGGAAAAATAAGAAAATCGTCGGAAACCAATGGAAAACCAATGGGAAACTAATGGGAAACCAATGGGAAACCAATGGGAAAATAATCGGAAACCAATGGGAAACCAATGGGAAACCGAGGCAGCCGCCATTTTAGGCTCCCCCGATTTCCGCGACCCTCCCTCCCACGTTGCCATGTCGCGTCGCACGGGCTCCACAGAACCCGAGCGCCGTGTAGGGGAGCCCTGATTGACTTTCAGCCCACCTGACGGTGAAATGGTCCCTTCAAGAGGAAATTGATCTTCCAGGTACCCTCCCACGGGTGCGATTTGTTCGTAAGGGAAACCAAACGGGAGCGATGCCGATTGAACAGCTCTTTTGGGGAGTGATGTGTGTTTTCCCCCATGAACCCATCTCACAAGCGCGAGGAGTCCAAATGCAGTCAGTGTCGACTCTGTCGACCATCCAAGAGAAATCTGCCATCAGATTAAGAGAGACCTCGCTTTTTGCCACCAACTCTTGCAAGTTCGTAAGGCACGGACAAGTATGTGAGTTCATTCTTGAGTCTGGTGGGAATGATTGACCGGATGAGCAACTGACCAAACGGGCGCAGCACGAGGTCAGAATACCCATCAAACAGCCAGGTCATTCAGAAATGCACGGCGCGACTGCAAAGATTGTGGGTTTTTTTCCAGGTGAAACAAGCCGTTGCTCAGACCTCGTGGGAGCGGGCTAAAGAAACCAAACCCGCCCCCCCCCCCCAAGCCGTAGGAGGAACTAGTGGCCCGTTTCAAAGTGTCAAGTCCAAGAAATGATCGAGCCGATCTTGCAACCCACAAGCCAGCTGTGTTTCACCGCGGTTTTCTCTCAGCTCTCGGCTCGCGCCAACTCAGAGTTTGATTTGACGGCGCAAGCAGTTGCAACCCGGGTATTTGGGTGTGCCCCTTTTTTTTTATGCTACCTATTTTCCGTGGGTTCAAAGGAAGAACAAAAGGAGGACCACCATTTTTGAGGATCCACTAAAAAGACACATTCATGTGCTGAACTGGTCGAAAGCCCGCGCAAACGCATGTTGAAGTCGAAAATCCGCCCCTGTCCTGGAAGACTGAGCACGCACGCTGCCGTGAGACTTTCGGGCCAGTGAGCTGTCGGCTGCGCCGGAGCGAGTGAGTACCCAAGCATTGAACCCATTGGCATGGAGAGGCTGCTGGCTTTTGCACGTCAACAGCCTTATGTCCTTGCCTACCTTGGCAACGCCATGTTTTCAGCATGTGTCAGTCGACCATGTGTCGGACACAAAGTGCCTGGCAAAGCCTTCCTTCAAGGATTGATGATCGCACCCTTCATAATGTTGACCCCGGACTAATAAACCCCTGTTTATTAATATGGGGGTGCTCCCCTCCAAAAGTGATAAATCCCCACTAAAACCAGGGACACCCCCATATTAATAACCAGGGGCTTATTAATCCGGGGTCAACATTACACGGCAAATGACACCCCTTTGTGAGCTGGATGGGACTCCTCGCAATTCCAAGGTGCATTCACCCTCAGTTCACCAGAAGCAACAGATTGATGCCGGCCAATGCGTGCTGAAGAAGTCGACGAGCATTGCTCCAAAGTGCATGACTGATTTACACCGGCCAGCGTCAAGGAAACATGTACCTGCAAACTGGCTGCCACACCTGGCAAACAAGCAATCGCAAAAGCCAAGCCCAACCAAACAAGTAAAGACATGCCCAACCCCCAAACCCAACCCAACCAAACCCAACCCAGCCAAACCCAACCAAACCCAACCCTGATCTGCAAAATCTTAAGACATCTCCAAGACCCGAACTCAGAATCGGAGACCGCAAGGGATCTTCTTCCCATGGGCGCGTTCTATGCCCCAAGCCCTGCCGGCCTTTGAGGCGCACGCCTTCCGGTCACCTGGAAGCTCGACCTGGGCGGTGAAATTTCCGGTGGCTGGCTTTCTGGGGGAACAAACTGGTGAGCCAACGGGGAAACCCAAGTTGAGGAATTGGAACACACCCATTTTCAGGGGGGCTCCATTTTCCCCCTTATTTTGAGCCACAGATCCACAGCGCATGGGCGGAAACTGGAGGCCACCCGTTGGATCAGGTGCTCAATCTGGCGCTTGCATGGGAGCCGCTGTTGGCGACTTCTAGGCATCTAGGGGTACCTTCCCCATTCTTTCCTGGCATCGGTAGATCCAAATATGTGAATCGGCGTACGCATCCTGCTTAAACGATCGAGGTCAGTCCGTGCCACTGCTGTTCTATGATGTACTCTTGCAAGAAAAAGAATGGCGTGGCAAACTGGCAAGAAAGCCGAGGAAAGTCTAGAAACGGGGCTTTAAGCGGCTTTAGCGATTTGGGTGATCAGCATGGCCGCGGCAACAAGAAATGTGTCGTTGCATAAATGAAGAGTCTCTTTTATATTCACCGTCAAAAGGGAACACAAATGACCAAAGTCTGATGGGCCAATGGGCATGGAGCGCATTCGTGGCACACCTTTTTCTGCCCATGATCTGCTCACGCCCGGTGGCCAGGTGCAAAGCACCATGGCGGCTCACCGAGCTCGATTCAAACAAAATTCCTCTCCAAACTGGCCCGGGGAAGAATGGGGCTGCTCGTAAATCAAGCATATTCCACGCGCAAAGCTATTTGGCGCACCGGACCGGCGACGACCACCCAAAGTTGTTCAACTTTGGACGAGTTGGAGCGCACCCATTTCCTCAAAACTTGCTTGGCGGTGTGTCCAAACTGCTGCTTGGACAGCGTGGAAGAAGCCAACCGCAACTTGTGCCCATGTTCATGAAACACATCCCGCACTGAAAGAGCATGGACTTCACAGGACTTGCGGCATGCGCCCAACCACCAAACACAACGTGGCTCGCTGTCAGAGCAGTCTGCACAAGCACCCGGCTCAAAACCAAGACATCACCAGCTGGTGTCCTGTCAGAAGACTCCTGAAAACGTTGCCTTCCGTTCGGTCGCTCATGGCTCCCTGACCGGAAAACATGTCATAAAGGAAAGCGGTAGGCTCTGTAGACAGAACACGCACCCTAGACGGCCGTGGCGAATTCTCCATGTTTGGTGAGTATTGTCGGATGGACGGGGAAAACGGACTGACTTGAAAACAAGAGTTTCGTTGAGGCGAAGCACACGTTTTGACCAGTGGGACCGACTTGCGCTGGCACACACAATAAAAGAACAAGTAGTTAGGGGGGTTCAACTTGTGTTATAAATGTTTCGCCCAGGCAAAATTGGAGTTCAACTGGGTAAGAGACTGTGTTTCTCGCAAAATCAGTGAAAATTAGAGTTCGCAATGTGGCCGTCTACGTGTACCTAGTTCGCAACGCTATTTGGCATGCACCGAACCGGCGACGACCACCCAAAGTTCTTCAACTTTGGACGCGTTGGAGCGCCACCCCATTTCCTGAAACTCGCTTGGCGGTGTGTCCAAACTGCTGCTTGGACAGCGCGGAAAAAGCCAAACGCGTAAGCTGAGAACTCCCATTTCTCTGGCCCATGTTCATTAAGCATATGCCCTGAAAGAGCATGGACTCAACACGACTTGCTTTTCAATGTATGTCTAGGCTGTCTGTGCTTCTGATTCGGCGGCGCAATGCGGCACGTCAGATCAGAAGCATATTAACCATAAACCATGTAAAACCCACCACAAACCTAGCGTAGACCGACCCTAAACCCAACCCAGGTGGCCGAAAACTTATTCGGCATGCGCCCAACAAGCAAACAGAACGTGGCTCGCCGTCACAGCAGTCTGCACAAGCACCCGGCTCAAAACCAAGACATCACCAGCCCGCGCTGGCTGGTCTCATGTCAGCTCAGCTGTCAAAAAAAGAAATATGAAGTTCTTCGGTCGCTGCTCACGGATTCCTGGCCGAAAAACATGTCATAAAGGAAAACGGTAGGCTCTGTAGACTGCTGCTCGTCGGAGTGGAGCAAAAGGATGCCCCGCCCTGCAGAGCATCGGTGCTTTTGGGAGAGACACACTCCACCTCAAGGACAACTCCGGCCGTGTCACTAGGAGCACCTCCATCGGCCTTGCCAATCTTCGCAATCGTTCCCTTCTCTGGATCCGCTGGCGGACGCTTCGGAGAGACGAGGGAGCAGAAGAATTTGGTGAAAGGCTCCACCACGATGGTGTCGCAGCCTCGCTGTTTGCATAACTCTGTCACAAAGAAGCAATCCAGACGAGTGGAGGGTCTCCCAAAACAAGATTCCTGACGGTTCTTTTCAATTCACTGCATTGTTTACAGCCAGGTGCAAGGGAGCCTTCGGCCAAGCCAATGGCAACAAGTCCGGCAAAGACGACTCAAATTGCAACCTGGGCAGCAGAGAGCAAGTAGAATGGAAACAAGCGTGGTTCCAAGCATGCAGTCCCACGAGTCCTCATCAAAGAAGCCCGCATCATGCAAGATCTCTGCAATTGGCCAGTGTGTCAAGTACAGCGTGTAGGATAGCTTGAGCATGTTGCTGAAGAGCCGGCAAGAGCCCTCGGTGATGCTGGTCAGCTTTCGGAACCTTGGACGGATGGCCAAACTTGACCTAAGCGCCACCATTCCTTGTTAAGTGTTCAAAACAGCATTTCGCCGCGCTCAGTGTCAATCCCAGTGCCTTCCATCACAGTTGCAAATCCGATGTTGCAGCTTTCTTGCCGCCTCAACCAAAATCTGTTTTCGGCTCGGACTTAGCACGGGCGAACCCCAGGCTTTTCAGGTCCCAAAAAAACGGGACCGCGAAAAGGGCGCCACTCGGGTGTGCCGCTTGCCTGGCCGGGGAACGAGTTGCTGTCGCAGCTCATCAGGGCGACCAAGGCCAGCAGCAGCGGTCCTGCCGAACTTGGCCACCGGTGCTTGGGCCTGGCCTCGTCGTCTGGAACGGCTCAAAACGATCCCACCAGCTGCTTTTTGTGCATCTCCAAACTCGGAACATGGGGTGCTTGCTGATTTGTTAGAAACAATTGAAACAATTCAAGGCTATTTGGGGAGTCAAGGTTTTTTGGGGGAGTCTGGCTTTGGGATGTCCTGTTTTGCCTCTTTTGCCCGATTCTGGTGAATGGCAAAGAGCATTCTCCACACTCCGGAGGGTCCTGTTATCAGATTGGCGTAGGCAATGAGGGCATCAGCCAATGGAGTGCCGGTCTGCGGCACAAAGAGCGTGAATGCAATCAGGATCAAAAGCAGCAAGTCCGACCTCGAACTGTCTACTGAAGAGTCGCAGGAATGAAAGGAAAGAAGCCAAGGCCCGTCCCCTTGTTGTTTCGCTAGATAGTAGGTAGGGACAGTAAGAATCTCGTTAGTCCATTCATGCGTGTCACTAATTAGATGAAGAGGCATTTGACTACCTTAAGAGAGTCATAGTTACACGCGCGCGCGTGGTAAAAAGGTCTGCCGCATTTTGCCGAGTCACGCCAGCCACACATGCCAGCGCTTGGTCGAGGAAGGGACCTGGAGGTTCGCCACCAGCTGCTCCAAGATTGCCCCCATGAATGGGATCCAGATCCTTACACGGATCCGACAAGTCACCCGGGCGTCTTTCACTTTGGGCACTTCGAAGCTAAAGTGACACCCTTCAAGTCTGCAAATTTAAAGAGCTCCCCGGACATGTCTTCACCTTGAGCGCAGCTTTACAAGATTTGCCAAAGTCAGCGAAGACGCTGCGTGGGGCTCCACACATGAATGACCCGGGCGTTCTCCTGCAGTCCCCCAGGCATGCCTGCCAGGAAAACCAACACACTGCACGCAAGGGCCAAACGCGTCAAGTACAGGAGGAGGAGGGAAGCAGCCAGCTCCACAACACTTCTGCGCCGCGTCCAGCGAAGGAATGGGGGCGAGAGGTAGTGGTAGGTAAGCAAGGTGGAGATGAACCACAAAGGCCGGTTGCAGGACCACCAAATCAAATAGGGATTCCAGCCTCCCAAGGTGACGCAGTCCAGGGCAAAGTGAAATACTCGAACCCAAGTGCCGCGCATCATAAGCGATATGCCGGTGATGGCAACTGCAACGATGTAGGCTGGGATCAGCCTTGCCACCTTCTTGGTCATGTGCTCCTTCCACGAGATGTTCTTCCATGTGGAGGAAGATAGCCACCCGGAGATGAGGGACATGCCCATCATCATCTCCACGCCATGATCCACCGTCTCGTAGGCTAGGTGCTGCGAGATCTGAACGGAATGCCTGGGGGCCTTCAGGAAACCCTGGTGGAAGGCAACCAGGCTGAAGATGTAGAAGGCCTCAGCTCACGAAGGTTCACTTAGTTCCCGTTTCGCTGCATTCGACGCTCGTGAACTACTGCGTGCCCTCTGCCGTTTTTATGCCCGGCCATGGGGTTTCTGGATGGATATCTCTTTGGAACAGCCGACAAAGTATGGCAAACAGCCCCAAAAGCCTGGCAGGCGTGCGCCCGAAACTTCACCGGCCTTGGTTCGGTCGAAGCTCACCACGGCCTTGGACGTCGCGTCCGGGCGCAAGCTTGCCAAGAAAGCCATGCTGGGTTCACTGGCCTTCACAGCCACGAGCCAAATAGCTGAGGCAATGTCGAAATTTCGCGAGGCCTTTCAGACTGTGGTAGCAAACCAATGGGAAGTTCCGGTTGAGGGGTTCTTCCAATTGGGAGCGTCATTTTTGCTGAGTTGGTGCCCCTTTTGTGTGGTTGTAGGGGACCAAAAAGCAAAGCCGCAATTTTGAGCAGTCAAAAAAGACACACACACACACACTTCTTTCTTCCCCACCCTGTGAGTGTTGCAGGCTAAGGGAACAGTCGGGTATTTTTTTGGTTTAGGCCACTGGACATGGCGAAAGAATGTTGGCAAGCCAAAGGCGGATAGAACAGCTCCCGCTTTCAGGGACAGGCCCAGAGAAAAGAGGAGGCACCCCGCTCTTCAAATGCCTTCACGACAAGAGTTCCATACTTTGTTTTTCCTTCAATCCGCTCGCAACTCCCCTCTTTCTGCTAGTTGTACTTGATTCTGCTCATAATGAGAAGTCTGGGCCTCAGCCTGCTTTACTAGCCCTTCACCTGAGCAACCTGGAGATTCATTCCATGCGCCAGTGCTCCCCCGGCAAATGGTAGCCCCGAAGTGTCCAAATATGAATCGGCGTACGTATCCTGCTTAAACAGATCAACTTGTTTCAGCCGCAAGATGGGTGATCGAGGTCAGTCCGTGCCACTGCTGTTCTATGATATACTCTTGCAAGAAAAAATGCCCTGACAAACTGGCAAGAAAGCCGAGGACAGTCTAGAAACGGGGTTTTAAGCGGCTTTAGCGATTTGGTTGATCAGCATGGCCGCGGAAACAAGAAATGTGTCGTTGCATAAATGAACAGTCACTGTACTCTGGCGGGGTGCCAGACCATTGCCAATCAGGAAGTACTTGGCGGATGGATACTTTTCTATTCACCGTCAGAAGGGAGCACAAATGAACAACGACGTCGAGGCTAACTCGGGTGAGGGCCAAGCAGCTTGGAGAATCCTCCGCGACCCTTCGCATCCTGCCCATCCCGCCTGCCAGCCGCCAGCCGCCAGCTGCCAGCTGCCAGCTGCCAGCCCGGTCCGCCAATGGACAAGCGAAGGAGGGGCTTTTTCACAGAGCCTTCAAAATCGATGTAAGACGTTCTTGATCTGAGCCTTCACGGCTAATGGGACCGTTGGCTCTGGTCTTGACTTGCGTTGCCATCTTGGCCTCGCCCCATTGCGCTGAGCTGCGGATCGTCGCAGGGCCCGTAAGCGCGGCAAATCGCACCGACTTGATGCTTACTGGCCATCCGTGGCCCAAGTCGAGAGCTTGTTGGCCATTTGCAGCTTGTTGAAAATTCTTGGCAAAATGGTCGCTGGCTGGCTGGCTTTGTTGGAATTGTGTTTTATTGATAGAATGGTCGCTGGCTTTGTTGGGCTTTCTTGGAACTGTCCTCTACCAACCTTCGCAATCTAGTATGTCGATTGTGGATGATATGGCCCCACTGGCTGCCGCCTTTGGTCGGTCACAATGGAAATAGTGCCTCGCTGAACTGTGGACAGCCAACGAGGCCCTTAATCAGTGGAGGAAATTAGCAAGCCAAGGCTGCTCTCCGAAGGTTCAATTACTATGCAACATATCGACTCACTTGACGAAAGCAACCAGCAAGACCTTACAGTGCCTGAATACTTCCATCTGGGCCATCAAGGGCATAAAGGCAGCTTGTCATATGCTGGCCGCAATTGACGCACTGGATGTGGATGCGCACAAACTCCGCGGTAACTGCCAGGATCGGGCCAGGTGACACAAGCCACTTTCATGAAACAAAGGGCCCAGCTACTTTTGGTTGCTTTTGTGGCTGGTGTTGACTCCAACCAAAGACAAATCCCAAAGCAACTTGCGCTTAGACTTGGCAACGCTTTTCGCAAGAACTCTCACAGTGGCCGCTTCTTGTTCCCCGCCAACTCGGGCAACCCTTTCGAGACGCGTCGCGCATCTCAAGCTATCTTTGCCCTTGGATTCGCTGCGCTACAGAAGGACGAAGGTCACTATGCCAGAGGTGACCTGGTTCGCAACGGACATGTCGGCGTAGAACTTCATGGTCTCGCCCGAACCAATTGTAGACTTGCGAGTCCAAAGGTGAAACATATCGAACATCCTCAGGAAGCCAAAAGCTCCAAGCAAGGCTCCTCCAAAACACCATGGAGCACTGCGAAATAAGATCGCAACGGCGAATGACCACTAACAATTACCGCTTAAGATCCCATTGTGCACTGTAGGAGGTCATGGGGACAACACATGCGAATCAAGAATGCGCTGACCATGTTTGCGTGGCTTGTAAGGACAAAAGCCATGAAACCAATGGTGTTGTATTGCGTCCCCCAAGGAGTGCCAAAAAACATCGCACAAACCAAACACATGCAAAATCGCGGATCCGCTGGTCACGAAAAGATTCTCCTACTGCTGATCAAGTGCTCGTACAAGAATTGACACCCATACAGTACCCATCACCCAAAGCCGCCACTTCTTTCTTGATTGACGCGCTGGGCGCATCTTCGTCGGAATAATTATCAGTGGTTTTGGATACCAATCAAGGATAGTTTTCACAATTCTGCGAGCACTGCAATGACTAAACCAATCATGCCGTCTCTCTCCCTCTCTCTCTCTCTCGCTCTCTCCCAGTGACGGTTCTATTGCAGCCAGGCACCTAGCGTCAAACTTGTCCCCCGCCCTCACCAGCAGCACGGGCTTCCCAGTGTCGTAGTCGCAGCGCAGCCAGTAGGTCTTCTTCTCGCCCCCCTTGAGCTTCTCGAAGACTTTGACGCCACCTAGGCGCATGTAGTCGTCGGGGCTCAGCTCCACGTAGGAATGGATATCCCGCATCTGCTCGGAGGTGAACTTCTCGATCCCATCCACACTGACGCCCACCTCAAATGCAAGGGAAAACGGTCAGAGTGCAATGCATTCATTGTCTCAACAGTTGTGGTCAAAAATATGCGGCCCCTTTTGGTACCTTCAAAAGGCGGCGCAAGGTGGCACCAAGGTCCAAACAGGTGCCTTTCTTTTTTCACCAACCAACAGAAATCTGCATGGATTTGCGGCGGACCTCCTTAGGTGGCCTCTAAATGGAGACACCAACCCAGACGAAGGAATGATCCCCATCCCCAACAAACCTAAAGCACTGCATCCCAATAGAAATCGGTGTGGATGCGCTTCTTGCAGATTTCACCTGTGCGTCCGCCTCTTGGTACTCACTTTTTTTAGTCATCTTTTAGTTCTCTTTTAATATCCCCTAAAGTCACATCCAATCGCTTTTTGGACCAATGGTCTGCAAGATTCTATATCGGTCTTTGCCAGGGCACGTTGTTTTCACAGAGCCGCTGGCCTCGATGTGGCAGTCTTGCCAAGAGTTCTTGTCTGGAAGCCGTCGGAACTGCCGGAGACTCATCCTGCGCGTTCGGAGCAACCAGCAATCCTTTCCACAGTATGCGTTGTTGGTGGCAAGCTAGGCATTGCACCATACAAACTTATCCTAGCAATAGCAAGTTGAACATCTTGGGTGATAATATATACCCTCCCTCCGACAAACATAGCAACTGTGGGAGGGTACCTGGAAGATGGTTTTCCTTTTGATGGTATCGTGTGTCAGTTGCTATGTTAGTGGGGAGGGAGGGTATGTATTATATATATCAAGGGATGAGATAGAAGACCATATCCCGTTCTGAGATGCACACACGACCAGTCACTCACGGACTTCAAACCAAGTCTCGATCGCGCGCCCTGTCGCAAGATAGTTGGACTAAGCTTTGCTCGACGCAAATGGACGACCCTCACAATGCCCTCTTCCTTCTAACAAGTTGGCGTATCCCATCCTGAAGGAGAAAGGAAAGAAAGAAAGAACAACGGAGGGAAAGAAAGAAAGTAAAGTAAAGTAAAGTAAAGTACAGGAAGGAAGGAAGGAAGGAAGGAAGGAAGGGAGGAAGGAAGGAAGGAAGGGAGGAAGGAAGGGAGGGAGGGAAGGGAAGGACGCAAGAAAAATGAAAAGAAACAAACAAACAAACAAACAAACAGACAGACAAAGAAAAAATGAATAAACAAGCATAACAACCAGGCGCCAGGATTGGATCATTGCAGGCCCATGTTGAGGCTTGTGACGAGCTGATTTTGCGATCAAGAAACATAGGCGTGGTCGCACGGTTCTCAATGAACCCCCTCCCCAAACCTCTTTATTCTGCTTGTGTTTGGCAAAGGGCTTCAATAAACAGAAGTGCGGATTCGGGGAAAGGATAGGTCTCGCCCATCTTTGCCCATGCCTGCTCAGGGCTTGCAGGCTCACTGAATATCGATTGAAGCACATGTCAGAATGCAACCAAGCAATGGTGACGCACAGGGCAAACATGGTCACGCAAGCCTAGCAAGCCTGGACTAAACCTGGGCACGCCTCTTCATCTTCCTCTCCCTCTGCTTTGGTCGGCTTCAGCAATGCCGACAAGGCCCGAAGGCCACTCCTATGCAACGCTTGACAGGGAAGGTTTGCTTGAATCGCGGCTTCATGGAATCCCCAGTTGAAATTTGAGCAAAGCCGGCCATCGCAACGGTGACACATGTCTGCTTCCGACAGGATCACATTTGCAATAGCTGAAGTTTCAGCAGCTTGCAATACTTACACGCGCTGTTGTATGTGTGTTAAGGGGCAACATTGGTGTACACCTGCTCATCCGAACAGCCTGTCTGCAAAAGGTGGAGATGTTCTTGCATACATGAGCTCCGGCAAAGCCACGAACGATGGTCTGAGGGTCCGTACATTTGCTTCTGAGAAACTACCATCCCCAGGTCCCATCACATCTGAAGCTGAAAAAGGGACTAAGGAAGGCATTGAGCAAGAGGGTCTGCGTCATTCTGTTCAGGCTCTGCAGCTTGCAACAGTCCGGGCCCACATGCCGGACGTCCATGGCAGTTGAAACCAATGGCTTGTGGCAACATGTTGCAACAAGTCAAACAGAAACAAAAACAAAAAAACGCGCACTGTCCCACCAAAAGAAAATTCCTGAAACCGCTGGCATAATCGAAATCCAAGTCTCTTCACAGCTTGGAAGGTCGGAGGCTCCTGTGCGATACGATTTTTTTGCCTATCCGATGCTTGGCATTCGCGGCGCGGTCCAGTCAAAGGCGTGTCAGAGTAAGTTGGCTCCAAAGTTGTCAGGCAACAAAAATGTCTGAGAGCTGGAAAGGTATGATATTGCATGGCGTGGTATGGTCCGGTCACAGGTACGCGTCTCTAGCTGACAAAGTTGTCGGGTATCTGATGTCTGGTTCAGTGGGAATAGAATGATGGCCCAGTGGCCAGGTGATGAGTGTGGCTTCAACGCCCATCTACCCAGACCTCCTCGGGACAAGCAAAAAGGGCACTCGGTTTTTGGCAGTTCCTTGGCTGTGGTTGTCAAAACCGTTTTGGGATCCCATTTTGGTTGGTAGGTGAGTTCGCCACGCATTTTAGAACCTATTTTAGTGGGGATTGAATCGAATGTTCACTGGGGTACGGGGTTCATGGCCATTTGACTCCAACAAAAGGAGAAAAGCGCACCACTGAGTCTACCTCGTTAGCGAGCTGTTCATCACAAAGCCAAAAACAAGTGCCCGTTGCACCTCGAAAACAGTCCTCCGAAGCGAATTGCGGTCACCCTTAAGAAATACACCCTATTGATAAATATGTTCTTTCCCAAACCCGATACTAAAATGGGATTAGCCAATGACAAACAATTCTAAACCAGCAACTTTCCGCCGACCCCAACTCCGGCGTATGTTTTGGGACACTGTAGAACCAATACTAGACCAATACTGAGCCATAGTAAACCATTCAAATCGACGGATTTTCTGCCATTTGCCGCTCGAATCTTTTAGGGGAAGCGGACTGAAGCAGATCTAAATGAACTTGGTCCATCTTCAGTATGTACCCTATTGGTAAACATTTGCCTGCCCCCGGGAGAAGAGTCTTATTAGGGCCAAATGTTCATGTATGATTAGAGGGAACGGATTAGTTAAGGGCATTCAATTCGGACTGCCAAAAATGCAGCAGGAGCAACCAAATCGGACCAACCCTCAACGCCATGTCATTTGTAGGGCCAGCGCCTTGCTACAAGTGGGTGCAAAAAGCTCGCCCGGATGGCGTGCTTTTGGTGTGCTTGCAAAGGTCCACGTCTTAACCAGATCTTTCACCGAGAGCACCTGTCAAGCAAGCCCCTCTCCTGCGCGTCCTGGGGCGCCGGGGTGCTCACCCCCGAAGGAATTTCCGGAGGCCCAGCTGGTCTGAGTGGTCTGAGGATGCCAGTGGTGTCCCTCAGTGTGATGGTGCCCTTCTGCAGGACGTCCTACATCTGGTCACGCGTCACGCCCCGTGCTTTCCCTATACAGATACGGGCCATTTGCCATGCTCAAAGGCACCTCCCAAAGTCCCAGTTTCGGACGTTGAAGCCCGGACATCAAGAAAAAAATGACCCCGGATCTGGGTTTGTCGTTCTGAGGCTACTCCTTTTGGGGGGTTGGTGAAAAGGGAAAGCCAAGGAAAGCCGCCGATTCGTTTGGGGAGGGTGCCCTTCTGAAACAAACCAACAAAACAAGTCATCAGACCGGAAACGTCTATATCTGCTTTGGAATATGATGTGTAACGCAGGACTTGCCCAAGCCAGGTTCAAACTGTTGTAAGATGGCTGTGGGCCAAAAAAAGGTACCTTAAATGGAACCCTTGTAAATGGAAACATGGACCAAATCCTGTGGTGCCCTGGTGGTTTAATTTGGAGCCATACCCAGATTGAGATGCTACCTCTTGAAGGGGAGCAATCTCCAAGGTCCAAACACTGCGCCGTGACAATCCCTCAAGCCGGGTGGTTCAAGGTTTTGCTGGCAAAAACCTTGCCGAGTCTCGATGATGAGAGTCCTCCAGCTAAACTCCGCGGAGTTACCCTCAGGCACATGCAGAGTAAAGGTCTCGTGGCCGGTTTCAAACTTGATCACATTCATCAGCTCCTGCTTGCCCTCCGTCTCAAAGTAGATGGCTGGAACATGATGAATGAAGTCGCAGCCCAAGTAGTACACGGTAGGTTTAGCTCCCCTAGCTCCATCTGCATACTGAGACCAAAGCACCGCGCCTCCAAAGGTATTGATGAAGTCTGGGTCTAATTCGGTGACCTCTTCAATCTCCTCCCCGTCCTCGTCGATTCCCTTGGCTGTCATCGTGATTGTCTGCGTACACCACACGGGGTCGGTACTCTTGGATTCCTCCACCCGGACATGCCGGACACCATCTGCCAGAAAAAGAGTCAGAAACGGGAGCAGCAACGGCGATATGGTGTAAAGCATGTATGAGATTTGCAAACCTACAAGCTCCTTTCTGCTGGCTTGGGCCAACTGGCACGGACCGGAAACAATGCGCTCGCTGAGACAACTTGAAGCGCCACCCTAGCAATCCGATGGCCCTGAGGCGCACATACTGGTCCGACCAGGGAGCTTGGTTTCTTCATCAAGTCACTAGACCCACCCTTCGCAGGCATACACGTGGCTTCCCTAAGCCTCCGACAAGCCACATGAGCTGCTGCTCCAGCCAGTTCGCAGAAATCGAATAGCAGAGATGTCTCGCTATGCAAGTGTGTCCATACTTTCCAGAACTGGCTTGTAGACATGCTCAATTCGAATCTGTAGAACTCCAATCTTTTCACTGACGCCAGAAGGCCTGTAAAGACCTTCGCTGTACAGCTGGTCTTATGGTCTCTGCATGCATTCCTGCGCATGAAACACAGGGATCCATGTGACCCGCCGCGTGCTGGGCCGGAGGCCCGGCGAAGGGCACGCGAGACGCGGCGAATTCGGCGTGAAACCAGAAAACTGGGGTGAGGAATACGGATCAAACCTTGCGGCCTCATTGGCCCTTGTATTCCTCGATCATCTTCTTGACTTCCTCGCGGAGAAAAGAAAAGAAAAGCTGTGGATGTTGGGAACGCGGCACGCGAAGGGTTGCCACGTTGGACATACTCTCGAGTCCTCACTAGCCTCACACTCTTGCACAAGCTCGATCCACACGAGAGAGCCAAACACCGCAAAGCACACGGGGCTTCACAGGTCCGCAGTGCGGCCCATGTCACTCAAGAACCAAAACATTCCGCAGGAGCTTTGAGTTTGGCACGATGACGGCAAGCGCTTCTTTGAAGCAGGTTCGCAGCTTTTGTCCCAGAAAGATCCGAACTGTCCCACTCCCCCTCACCCCTTCCGTCAGATCCCGGATAGATGAGGCCCCTGGCCGCGAGCAGCAGCGGCTGCAGGCCCTGCCCACCCGGCTTCACAAAGGCGTCCAGCACCTCGCGGCCGCACGAAAACGGCCTCACGAAAACGGCCCCGCCGGGGGGTTCGGCGCGCACCCGCAGGCAAGTTCGCAGGCAAGAGGGATGAAAAGACGGGGATGGGACAAAAGGAAAGACGGACATCTCTGGCACAAATGGCACGTGCATCTCGCGGAAAAAAAATGAAGCGACTTCGGGCAGCCCACCAGCCCGCCTCTCGGATGGCTGGTGGAACATCGCCGGAGGGCTCGTTTTTCACCTGCGCCACAAGTTGCCCATGCGGTGTAGAAGCTCCCAGGACCCCTTTGGAAGACTTGGTTCCATTTACAAAGGCCTTCTGGAAGCCTCCATGTTAGTTAACAAACAAAGCGGGCATCGCCTAGTTACTCCCTCCAGGCCGCTGTTCTTCGCTCGATCCACCTGGAGTTGTCAAAATTAGGGCCCCTGCTTGGTATCTCCTTTAGAAGGTGGTACACAGCAACCGGATCCAACAAGGGAGCCACATCATATTTTTGGCCACCCCCAGCTGGGTTGCCGCTAAGCTGGAGCGGTTTGTCTTGCCTTCCCTCAGTCCGCATGTCCCCGAAGGCATGCCTCCGGCTCATCTCCATCGCTCGAAACCTGGCGTCATGATGCTTGCTCTCGCTCGCAGCTGGCGACCAATTTTAATAGGGAACCCCCTCCAAAGTGGTTGGTGCACATGGACCCTCACCTAAATGATGTCCACCAAAGGATCCCTAGTTAAAATTCAGACCCAGCTAGAGCCATCGATTGATTGCCATCCAACGGCTGCCATGAAGGGGCCATAAGGGGACTATCCCCGAAGAGAAACTGATTCTCGCAAGATTGCGGACCTGGAAGAATGGCCATTGACTTAGCCATCCGAATGTGCACACACTGATGGAAGTTTGCCTTGAATACGACAGTACCAAGCTGCCAGGGCATTCATCGGCATAGGTTGCTGAGCGTCTGAGCAGCTTCTCTCCTCTTCATCCTTCAAGCATTCGGCTGCTCAGATCTCCGTGTAAGTCGTTCAGAGATAAAGGCAGCATGCTTGAAATCATTGACAGTGCTACGCTTTGATGTTGTGCACAGCGGAATGTTGAAATGACGCACATTATGGACCGTCGAAAATTCTGACACGGCCAGTAAAACATAGTGTCATGCTGACAATTAAACCAGTCTGGCTCTCATTGTCTTTGCACGGCCAACTCGCCATCACCCGTCTTTAAAAGCACGTTGCTATGTCATTGCTTCATTCCAAGCACGCGTCACATCAAAATGACATTGCTGGCGCATAGACAACGATCCGCAGTGAGCACTTCTGTCCAACTCCAAACGACTCCATCCCTCTGCTGCTTTCTCCCTTGCGATTTGATCGTTGTTGTTGCAAGCAAAACCTGGTTTGCACCCCAGCGCAGCAAAAACACGTGAAGTCCAAACCATCGTGGGACAACTCAACCACACCCGTCCAAGTCGATTCTGGGGGCGGGGAACCAGACCGTCCTAAGTTGAAAACATAGATCTCTGATCGGAACCAAACTGAAACCAGAAGCCATCCATGTTCAACAGTCGAACCTTTATCAAACCAAAAAGGACCTAACCCGATTCAAGCCCCGGAAGACTTTACAGTTCTTCCTCCATTTCCCTTCTTGGAGCCTCCAAAAGTGGGGAAACCAGCAAATTCGGCCAAAATGTCCCTTGTTGAACCTCCAAAAGTGGGGCGATTTCCATGGAAACCAGTAGCCTCAGCCACCCTCGAAAGAAAAAGCAAATCTAGGCAGACCCCCCCTTTGTCGTCTTTTAAATCTCACCGCCGCGTTCCTTTCAATCGCTTCGCGCATCGCGAAGCGATCGCATCGCAGCCTCGGTGAAGGCCAGCGTGCCCTTGCCGCTGCAGTCCCCCACCTCCGTCTCGTGGCTTCGTGGCTTGCGGGGGGAGTCGGTGGTGGGCGATCCGGGAGGGGTTCAACAGAGATCCGGAGGCAAAACCACCCATCGAAAGAATGGGATCCGGCACGAAAACCACCCATCGAACCTTGCAACTTGGTAAATGGCGGGAAGCCCAACTTTATCTTGGGGTTGAAAAGGCAACATGCTTCAGATGGTTGCAAAAGGGAGATCTTTTAAGGAGGTCTGGAGAAGAAAAACGCTTTTGAGGCGCTTTGCTTGGCCGTTCTTCTTCCGCAATGTTTTTTGATGTTCGGTGGGTGGTTGATCCTTTTACCAAGCTTCCTCCGCCTCCGCGATGATTTAATTGTTGTTTGGTGGACGTCTCCTCGGCGATCTTCTTGGGCGATTTGTGGGTTGCTTGGTGCTTTTCAGGAAGGATGTTTTGTTGTTTGGTGGGTGGTTGGTCCTTTTGCGAAGGACTTGGCAAAACAACGTCCTTGGCAAGTTGTGCTTCTTGGTCCTTTGACGAAGGAAAGGGCAAAAGAGCTTCCTTGGCAAGTTGTGCTGCTTGGTCCTACGAAGGAAAGGGCAAAAGAGCTTACTTGGAAGGGCAAAGGGGCAAAAGGAGGGAGGAGGGAGCCTTCAGGATCTGCCGACTGGAAGCGCCAAGTGCTCGCAGCGATTTCTTTCCCGCGAAGACGATTTCTTCCGCTGCCCGCCTTGGCTTCGTACTCAACATTGAAGGACACGTCCAGGAGGTGCCTGGCATAGGGGGTTGATTCCGTGTCCATTCTTTTCCACCATCCTTCTTTCTCAAAAACCGATCGCCATTTTCGCGACAGGCTTCCGAAGGTTCTCTGATTCCGATCCCTGGAAAGAATGGAAATGGAAGGTACCCCTACGCACTATGAACCTCAGGGAGAGGACTCCTAGCTGGACAAAACACCCAAAGAAAGTCTGGGAGGAGACAGCGCTACAAAGGGATCAGAGGGAAAAGGCTGGACAAAGTTAAGCAACAAGGGACGAACGGCGTATCATCCATGAAATGCTCCTTGAGTCCCTTAGAAAGAAAAAACTCATGAAGGTGCTTCTTGCACCGAATGGTCCCCAAACTTCCGCCCCGCCTTCGCTTGCCCCGCGACACGGAGATGGAGCAGTCGCCTTTCAGGTCCGCCTGAAGTGACGACGCATCAGGCCAGGGCCAACCGGCCAACCTGCCTCAACCTGATGAAAGGCCCGTTGTTGAAACAGCCTCCTTTGGGTTTCCCAAAGGACGGGACCAGGGTCTGGCTATCTAAAAACAGTTAAATACGCCATAATTACACATCACCGAACAGAAGATTAGATGCTAGCACATAGCCCACTCTGCGTTCGAATATGAAACACAAAAGCGCATTGCGTTGGGTCGGCGCGTGTCACGCGCCGCCAAATTTCGCCACGTCGTAAAATCTGCTTGCATGCAGCTATCTTGTGTGTATATACATAGCGTACATTCATAGCACGACATAAACCACCCTAACCTGACATAGCATCGCATTACCAACAGCACCCTGCCTGCCTGCATGTCTTTCTGCCTGCTTTCTTGCACACATATGTATTGAAACACGGTAACAGCAACAAAATGCGGCCTGGCCACACATATCATACATATGGCTGTGGGTCAAAACCAGGTCTCTGGTGGTCCCTGGTGCTTTAATTTTGACATGTATTGAACGCATGCCTGCTCACTGTGTCACTGACAACAGCAACCCCAACCCCCTACGCCAGGGCAACCGGCCACGCCCGTGGTGGAGATGCATCCTGCCAGGTGATGGTCTTCTGGCTCCCTTGGTTGCAACCCGTGGAACCTTCTTGCCCGGCTGATGATGCCTTGGGGCCACACGCGCACACGGACCCACACACCTCTGATGTACTGCTTGTATTCAAACAGCACGCCTTTGCCGGGATTCGCGGCACATACAAGAAGCGGACTTGCGGCATCCTTCCCCTACATTGCGGCTCCGCAGCATCTTTTGTACTCTCCACTCCGGGGATTCCCTCCGCACACAAACATAAACATACACTATTGGCTCCTTGCCGTGGTTGAACTGTGGAAACAAACATCATTTCCGATACGACCTCCGGACTTCGCCGATTCGCTGATTCGCTCATCTCTCACTCTCGCTGACTCCTCCGCGGGGGAGGTCAAACTTCACCCCGACCAGGCCCGACTTCAGGCCTGTGCGTTCAAACACCCTAATCCGGCTCTGGGCTCGGAGGATGGTCATGACACGTAGACCAGATTCCCCCGAAAAAATCAAGCCGAAAACCGGAGGCGGGGGCCGCGAGACTTTTCTGGAGATGAAAATACGCTGAACTCAATGGCGAGTGTGTCCTCTGGTCTGGGGATCGCATCAGTTTCTTGGCCCCGTCGCATTTCGGAACAGCAGGGGTCGCAGGTGGGCCGTCTTGCCATTCCATGGGGTGTGTTACCACTCCACGGGGTATCTTGCCATTCTCTCCATTGAGCAAACTCCTATCAAACGCAACACATATCATCTCTGACATCCGCCTCCCCACCCGGGGATGCTGTCCGTCGCAAGAACAAAAACGCCAGCCCTCACGCCGTGCGGCGGTCTTCCAGCCACTTGGTCATGCCCTTCTCCTCGTAGGTGCCCGCCTTGCGCCAAAAGCGGCTCTCCCGCTCGCCCGAGACGAAGGCCATCCGGGTTTGGTAAATGGGGCATAAAGCCCATCTGAACCAGTGGAACCCATCTATTTCTAAGCAAGCTCACCGATCAACAGGACACCTATGGTCATGGTTTATAAGGGTCATTCCCTGATCCCTGCAGAGCACCAGCAAGATTAGGCATGTAGGGTTTCCAAATCTGCCCAAAGCCTGCACGGGCATTCCAAGGACCGGCGCGCGAGTCTCCAGCGCGACCGGGGGTGCAGAAGGCTTGCAGATCCCCTTCAAAAATCAAAAGGACTCGTCCGCCGCGGTGTTCCCATGCGGTTCACATGATTGTAACACCTCCGAAGGAAGAAATCCTCCGAGCAAATGAGAACAAACCAACGGTATTCTAGCATCAATCTCATCTCAACGCACATGGCATCGATGTCCCGGCGGCAAGTGGCTCGCACGAGTGCGCCTGGTTCCACTGACTGCCACCGCCCTTGACGTCCCCGGTCTGCGGTTCGCGCGACCGGGCCGAACCGGTTGGACGAGCGAGGTATAGGCCTACAAGGAGCGCAAACGGTCGAATAATGAATTGGAGCCATAGCAAGGGCAGCCATATCTCTATCAGTGCCTGTTTGTGACCAAAAAAGGGGCCATTGAAGACCATCGAGGGCCATTGACTGCCACCATGGCTCGTTTTGTGTTGCTTGCTTGCGCTGTTGAAAATTGCAGAACACCCGAGGTCCGGCAGGGACACCACGCATGTATGTTGTTTCACATAGCATCCCGCAGATTGCAAGGCATTTCCCAGACGCACCATATCCAAAATGAACCTCCATACTCTTCATGCCGACGTTTCAAAGAAAGACAACAACACGCCACCGATCACGCTTTCCTGGCAGAACATCCCCCCAGGGGAAGAAAAAAAGATTGGGCCTTGGAAACCTCTGACTGCCCTGCAAAGACCCTGGCAATTTTCCATGCGGTCCTCAAAATAGCGGAACTGGATGGATCCTTGAACCCAGCCATGTCCTAGAAGAACAAAAGTGGGAAAACGCAACTGGCGGCTTCCGCACTGACTGTCAACGTGCTGGCCCAGGTTCCTGTCCTTCAACCACCCCGCCAAGCCCGAATGGAAGTGCGCTTGGCGCTTGGCGCTTCAAAGCTGCTTTCTTGCGCCCCCCCAAAAGCCCAGCCAGACTCAACGCCTCCTCCACACCCTCCCCAAAACCCCCCCGGCCCCAGGCCCAGCAAGCCGCCCAGCCGCCGCCCGCCTCCACGGGCGTGTCCAGCTTCTTCGGCTTCCCGAAGCCCTGGGCCTCGATCAGCTGCTTCGCCTCGTCGGCCCCGGCCGTGGGGCCGGGCCGTGGGTCAAAATGAAATCCGCGGGAAGACCGGACCGCGGGTTTTTTGGGCCTGGGCAAGCCATCTGTCAGGGCAAGCCATTTCGAGCACTCTTTTTTTTTTTTGACCCACGGCCAGGTGGGTGTGTCTCTTCTCAAAGATGGCTTGGGCTTGCTTCTCTTTTTAAGGTTGGGCCGCCAAGAAATGGCCCAAGGTGGTCCTCTTGCCTTCCCTTGCAAACCGACCAAAGAAGGGGTACCAACTCAAAAAAGACAGACCTATTGGGCGTTCATGTTTTTGCAGAAGGTCAACCCAGGATTATGAACCCCGTATTCATATGTCCCTGGTTTTGGGGGGTTCATCACTTTTGGAGGGGAACACCCCCAATGAGCCAGAGTTTAATCCGAGGTCAACATGAATTAACACCAAAACGAATGGCATGAAAAGCTTCCCTGTGACATCCCAAATGGTGGACTCTTGAAATCACTCAAATACCACTTGACTATGACTCACAGCAGTTTTTGGGATTGTTTCTTCTACAAACTGATGGGTTGGGGGCTTACCCCTGAGTGATTTAGAATATGGTGGCTAATGGTATGCAATCAGTCCGGGCTGTGTTCTGACATCAAAACAAGTACTCGAAGACCTCTTAAACTGATGTTCACTCCTCAAATCTTGCCCACTTAGATTGGCAGCGGTCCAGTCGAAAAACGGGCCCATTTAAAGGAGATACACATGGCTGGCCAGTCTTGCATTCGAGACTTCGCCTCAAAACGAGTGCCGGTTAGGACTTTGGCGCCTCCCTCCCGCCCTGATTTCGCTGCGAGCATAGCCCTGTTTTCACCATGTCCTGCACCGGCTCACATTACATACATGGCCATGGGTCAAAAGCCAAATCGTACCCCCAGTGAACATCCCAATCCCCACTAAGATAGGTTCTAAAATGCGTGGCGAATTCACCTACCAACCAACACGGGATCAACCAAAACACTTTTGACCACCACAGCCAAACTCCAACCGAAAAATAGAAAGCTGCGGGACGCGAACCTCTTCGGAGATCTCGGTGTGGAAGTAGGAGGTGGTCTTCCCATCCTGCCGAACCGAACGGACCGCACCCAGACGTATGTTTGACCGAAAAACATGGGTGTGGCTCAAAGTTAAAAGACAAATGGGTACATTTTTTGGACCCAGGCAAATGCGCGTCACTGGGCAGAAACAGCCCTGAGATTGATCTTTGATCGACCCACACCGTGCACTCAGGATCAATGCAAAGGCAGAGAGCATGAGTTTGTATGTTGGCCGATAAGCTTCATTCTAGTGTACAAATCAACAGACTGATCAAGATACGACACCTGCCTCCAATAGCCTCTTGCTACAGCAGAACACCTGATGTAACAGATCTCAAAAGTATCAGAGCAGCGGTCGCTCCGCAGTCTTCTTGTACCCCCGGAACTCGCTGGACTCGTTCTCTTTGTCCCCATCCTGCGCGCGATAAGATCACAGCAATGCAACGATCCGAGTGCCTACAGACATGCATGTTATAGCCAGCCGCTCGTTGTGTTTCACTTGTGTCAAGGAGGAAAACAAAACCAGCCAAGTGGATTCCAGCCGATGAATCTGGAAACATGTCGCTGCCCAAAAAAGAATGTAAGAGCAGAACCGTGGGTGATGCTTCTTTGACGGTTTTAAGCAGCTCGCCAATGGCACTGCTCCGAAATGCCAACATTTGATCCTAGCTTCGCTCTCTTCTGTTGTTTGCAATGGAGAACAACATCTTTTGCAATGTGCGTACCTGCGCGCATTAGGACAAACAAGCACCCTTCCCTCTTGGACAGTGAAGAACATCCCAAATCCGGTGATGCGTCATACTGAGCATGTTAAGCCTTGACTGTTGTGGTTCAAGTGCGACACGCTACTGTTGCATGTAAACGAGCACAAAATCGAAGACGCTAGGTGATTGATTGTCATTGTCACTTCAGCTTTTTGCTGGTCATTCATTCAAAGTGTTGTGAGAATTGAAATGTGTGCACTTGAGGAAGGGGGCAAACGACCTGCTGGATGGTACATCTCACTGGCAGGTTGACAAGGACAAACATGTTGACTGTGGCCTTTTCGGATGCGTTTGTTGGTACCAGTAAGCTGCCGAGCAAGCAAGAAGAACAGACACAAGTTCCCCGGGCCTTTGAGCTTGCCACATGTGCATTTGTAACCCACATACAAAGATACGAGGAAAAATAAACCAGACACAAAGGAAGCCAAAACACAGCCGGCCAAACCAAAAGAAGCGGTTCGGGTGTTGGGTGGGTTTGGTGTCGGTTTGGTGTGGGTTGTGGATGAGTTTTTGGGTACCTTTGGTGTGAGTCTTGTGCGGGTTGAGAGAATCGAATGATATCTACTTTGAAAAAAACAAAAAACTACGCCCAGGCAAGGCCTTCGGCTTGGGCGGGGCCCTTGCCGTCGAGGCGTTGTGCAGCTCCACGCGCACATCCTGCCGACGTAAGGCCAGTGAGGCACGGCTCGAATTGGGCGGCTCGTCGTTTCGGAGGTCGATTCTTTGTTGGCTTCCCAAGGGAAAACCAAGAAGAAAAAAACAAAAACAATTCGTGGGTCAAGCAAAATGGTCGGAACCCCAAAAATTCGGCTTGGAGCCCGGCGGTTTGGTTTGGAGCCTGGTGGTTTGGTGGCTGGTTTTGGTGGTTTCTCATGTATTCTCTACAGAAGCCAGGGGTTCAAGTCACCAAACCACCAATCCAAACCACCCAATAGGGGCTCCCCCAAAAAGGTGGCTTCCTGTTGAGGGAAAAGCGAAGGGAAACCAAGCAACAGCAGAGAATTTTGGATGATGGACAGCTGTTTGGGACGCAAGTGACACTACAATTTGGCGAGACCCAGACTTGACGACTTGCATGAGCTTGCCGTTCCAAAAAGACGGGACCCCCGAAAAGAATGAGATGGCTGTGGGTCCAAAATAGGTAATCGAAATTAAACCCTGGTAAATGGAACCAAGGACCAAAACCTGCGGTCTCCTGCTGGTTTAATTTTGACCCATACCCATATGTTGCCCTTTGGCTTCTCAAAGAAGGATTCCCTCAAAAACGGCTCGGTGTGGGCCCCCTCCTACCCCGGGTACGTGCAGCGCGGTTTACAAAAGACCAGCCGGGTCAGCTGGCACGGAATTGAACTTGAACCTCTTGGCCGACCCTCCTTCATCTGAGCACGTATTCTCCGGAAAAAAAAAATGGGAAAAATGAGTGAGTCGTTCCAAACAAAAAATCCCCAGTCAGAAAAGAAAGGGATTCTCAAAAAATCCCAAGTCAAGAAACAACAAAAAATGGACCAGTGGACAAACACATCCCACGAGTTGTGCGTCGTCTTAGTCCAAGCGAAACCGGACGAATTTCGTCCGCTCCATCTCCCGAAGCCGCCTGGGCGTCCGCCTTGAGCTTCGCCTTGTCCTCCGCGTCCTTCACCTTGTCCTGTCGCGCCTGCCATCGGAGGCATCAATGGTCGCAGGGCGCGCGGGCTGCGGCCACTGATGGCCTCCCGTTTTCGGATGGTGCTCTATGTTTCATGTAACGTTCTATGTGTTTTGCTTTTTTTTGTGTTTTGTTTCTTCGGATGTTGTTTTTTATGTTTAGATATGTATTATATATTTGGGGGGAGGTCAGCCAATGTGAAGGTCAGACACAAAACTCAGGTCCCGCTCGAAACCAAAGAGACGTGTTGAGTCTGAGGCTCGCCAGGTCCGGCACGTCCCAAACTAGCTCGGCACTTTGAGTCGGAATTGAGATAGGTTGGAGGACCCCAAAGTTGGACCAATAAATATCAAAAACCTAACATAGATAGATAGAAAGCTAAGATAGAATGGTGAGAGAGATCACACATATCATTGATTGGTCTTTTACTTCATGTTTGTCTTTTTTTAAGGGACACCAACAATATGCCATCATTTTGGAGGCCCCCCCCCAAAAAAAAAAAAAACGGAAACAACACACCCACGTTTACTCGCGACATCACATCGAAGGGCAACTGAGTATGAGGGCTTCTCCGAGCCAAACGTGACTTACACGTGACCTGAGTCACACTCAAAGCCGATCTAGAATCGTCTACGCAGAACCGCGTAAACAATTGACAAGGCAGAGATCCGCACCCGTTTTATGCTTGGGTTGTTTCCCTTACTAAGTTCCATCTACCCGGGTTTGAGGACGTAGGCTCACCGGCCATTCGCCTTGTCAATGAGCTCCTGGAACGACTTGTTCTCGGGCTCCAGCTTCAAGCCCTCCTTGCCGCAGTTTTGGGTCGAAAGCTAAGTCCTTTGTTCCTCTCTCCCCTGCGTTTGAAGTCAAAGTGCGGTCCTCTTCCGTGAAATGCAAGGAGACGCGCGCGCAACAAGATTCGGCCCAATGAACTACTTTTATCAGGGATCTGATTGCAAACACACAAAAAAAAAAAAAGCCTCAACCCGCAAAACCCGCTGCGAACACTGCAGACCTCCTTTGTCGAGAAGCTCACGGCATTAATCAGAACCCCAAACACGGTCCCAGCGATCCGTTGACGAGCCACTCACATGTTTCCTCTGGCAAAGTCCTGCTGGTATAGAACTAAGGCCCTCTCGCTATGCTTGAACGCCGCAAGTGGGCCTTCAGTTTCATCCTCTCGGAATCCCCTGTTTCCGCCCCACCAACACCCCGACATACCATCTAGACTTCCCCCTCGGCCCTCATGCCGCATGCGAATCGGGTCTGCGAAGCTGCCTCGGCCGTCTTGATGGCCTCATCCCAGTCGTTCAGCCGAAGGTGGGCCTCAGTCCACCAGCCGAATGTTGAACTCTCCAGCCTCACCATCCCCCTGTTCCGTGCTTTTCGGGAGCGACATGGTTGCTTTACGCAAGTAAGGCTCTTACAATACGGCCAAAAGCGTATCCCAGCGGATTCCTTCTTTGAAACCAGGGGCATGTCACTTCGAGCTTACCCCTTTCACACTGATCAAAGTATAACCAATGGCACTGCTGGACGGTTGCAAAAGACAAACACCAAAAAAAAAAAGAGAAAAAAAAAAGAGGAAAAAAAAAAAAAAAAAAAAAAAAAAAAAAAAAAACGGAAATCAACGGGCAACCCAAAAGGCCCCGACATCCGGCACCGGACTTCGACTCGACCTCCCCAAAAAACCCGAAACCCGAAAACCCGCCGCTTCGCCGCTTCGCCGCTTCGCCATCCGCGCCTGGGCCTTGCGGTGGTACGCCTTCACAAACTTCGCGTCCAGCTCCAGGCCTCGGCTTGCGGACGCTTTCGCAGAGGTCTCTCCACGTGTTTGTTGGTTGCCGCCCGTTTTGAGGTGGGCGTGGGGGGAACGGCCACTCCCGGTTTTAGGTTTGATTGACCCGGGGTTTTGGTGGACTCACTGGTTGAGGGACCTCAAAAAATGGAGAACTGGTTCGCTCTTCGCCGAAAATGGGTGACGGAGCTCGCTCCGGAAAACCGGAGCAAAAGGAAACATACCTTTGGCCCAGCGGCACTTCTTGGCGTCTTCGAGGGCACCCTCGACCTGCGAGCAGAAAACCCTCGACTTGGCGGTGAGACATACCCTCCCACGCACGTTGCCATGGCACCGGACGGAGGGCCCCTTGCAAAGGAAATGGATCCAGGCACCTTCCCACATTTCAGTTTCCCTCTAATTGGTGGTTTGACTTGGCGGTTTGCAGGTTAAGGGATGGTTTCCATCTACCCTCCACAAGAGCCAGAAGGTTCAAATCCCCAACCCACCAACCCCTACCACCACTTGAGTATTGCCTGAACATTCCTCATTGACTTATTTCCATCTAGCGTCACGCAGGAACAACGAATGGCCATGGCTCCTCCGCGCAAGAAAAACACCCTTGATATGGCCAGCAGGCAAGGGAAGTAACTATTGGAGAAACAGGGAGCATCGTATAGCAGGGGTTTGCAGCATAGCATGCCATCAGCTATCAACCACACCCCAGAAAGGAATCCTCTGTGTGAGCGTGCTGCCAAAATAATATGAATTCATATGCATTCTGATATGCAGCAGAAGATCCAAGCTCCATTCGCTCTTCACCGCACCTCTCTGGAACCTTTCTAACCCTTGCAAAAAAACCGGTCTCGTTGAGCCCGCGCCTTGTTGAGGTTTAGTCTAACCATGGATCTGTTGGAGTACCTGGCCAGGAAGCAAAGGAGACCCCAAAACTGAGGTGGGAGCACAGGATACAGACAATCACAAAATCAGACACCTGTTGAATTCCGTGATCTATCCGAATCAATCCTGAACTACCAAAGCTGAGCGTGATCATCGTGCTCGGGCAGAAAGAACAAGCGTCTGTTACAGGGCTACCGATAACGTTTCTCAGGGGACTCAGCACACCTGCACACTTTTAAACGCACTTGAGCAGAACGGCTGTTTGGCAATGCCGATGATGCTAGTGATACCATGACACATGCCATTTATGCATATGTCAAACGTCCCCTTATTATGTGCATCTTGGCCCAAACAGCGCTCCGCCAGCCCAAGGCCTCCACCCCCCTGGCCAGGGTGATTGCCTTCATTTGCTTGCGCACCAACACCACAAACGGAAACAAAACGAACAATTTACACGTACTTGAGCAAAACGGTTGTTTGGCAATGCCGATGATGCTAGAGATACCATGACACATGCCATTTATGCATACGTCAAATGTCGATATTTCCCTTTTGAGCATCACCCCACCAAAAGGAAGCTCGCTATAAATTGGCCCAAAGGGTGATGTCTAAAACCACAGCGGAATTGCATTATGGGACCCTGCTTTTTGGCTGGCATACGCACCATTTAAGGGCACCCTCTTGCTGAGAAACCCCCATGCGAGTGATCAAATTATCTGAAGCTAACAATGCTTCACCAGCCTGAACTGCTGAATCCCCGGTAAAGGGCAGTCTCTTTTGTTGGGCTCCCTAGATCCAAAAAGTACACCAACCCTTTTGGGGCACCCCGCAGCCACTTGCGCCGGGCAATATCTGGGGTCCCACACAGCGCCGGCTCCGACTTCCCCGGCAATGAGGCGAGGAGGTCGATGGCCTCCAACGTTATTGGAAACGACGCGGTGTTTCTTGCCTCAAGGAGGGATGCCACGTGACCCCTCCGGCTTTTAGAGGGATGCTACGTGCAGCCCCCGGCTTTAAACATGTAAAAATTGTCAAGTTGACACTAGTTGTTGCAAGGAATGTTGAATGAATATGAGAACATGTGCTTCAAAATATGATTGCGTGTGAGCTGCTGATTGATCTTTCCGGATACCTGTTGCCAACAAACCGGCAGCGGATTGCCTGAATAGAGTGTGTTGAGACAAAGTAGCGTGTTCTCCCGCCTGTGAATTTTTACATGGGCCGGGTGGGAAAAGCCAGATCATTCTGGTGTTCTTTTCCCTTCCTGCCTGGCCAAGTTGGTGTGGGTCAAAGACAGGTACGCAAAACTCAACTGCAACGCTCGACAGAGTGCAGGGAAAGCTTTTCTTGCAACAACATGAAGCCGTTTGTCAAAAAATAAACGCACATTCTCGACATGCAGGCGTCGGAGGTGTGTATATATATATATATATATGTACATATCTATATATATATGTATATATATATATGTATATATATATACAATTATGTGAATATGTGTGTGTACAAATGTTCCTCCTAAACGTAGCCCTGTTGCTTGAGGCGCATGTCACCCCCGTCCCCCGTCAAAAGAAAGAAAGAAAGAAAGAAAGAAAGAAAGAAAGAGGCTTGCCTTGCCATACAGCAGCTCCGCGCTGGGCATGTCCTGCCACTCGCGGGTCATGCGGCTAGTCACGAAAGTCAGGAAACATGGAGCCTCACGGTTTGGTATTTTGCAGCGCCCCAAAGGCACGAGGGGTGGGCTGAGGTTCCGTTCCAGAGAAGCTACGCTCAACGATACCACACCTGCGCTTCACCTCCTGACCGCAGCGTGCGCCCAAACCCCAGGCCCTTCTGTTGTCTCAGTGGCCCATGCCCCCCCCCACCCCACCCCCTTGACACGGATTCGGTAAGTGGCCTGACAGTCTCCCTGCCTTCTGCATGAAGGCGCCCTTGGCACGGTTCTTCACCTAGCGCGCCGCTGTTTTTGGCAGGTCCCTTTTGTCTGCAGCTCCTTGAGGTATCCACAAAGTCGAAAGCCATCCCATCGCCCATTTTTAGTCTTCCAGGCCATCGCAAAGGCGCACAGCTTGCGTGTGAGAAGAGACAAATCTCCCTGTGGCTTACCGGCAATGGAGAAGCCTCATGCAAATGACCGCCATTTGCCATGCAGTTTCTCCACTTCCCAGCCTGCCAACGTGCAACTATCCTGAGGATCCCAAAGTGAGCCACCTCCTTCCACCCAATGTTTGTTACCAAATCTTGATTCGCCCTGGATTTTAGAAGATTCGCGTGACAGCCGAACCAACAACGTGGCCGCGATGAACCTCACGAAAAATATCCCAACGCAGCAAAAGCAATTCAAGGTAGCCCCCATCAATGTCAGCCGCATCTGGCGGATCCGACCTTGGCTTGTGAGACTCGCTGTTGAAAGTTGAGGTCCTTTCACTGCACGCTGTACTTGGTAGACCTCCACGTGGTAATCGGCCTGGAGCCAAGCATCCGAAATTGAAGCGCCCAGCTTGCCAGAAGCCCTGCTTTGTTCAGTCATCTAACTTATCCTCTTGCCCAAGTATATTGGAAACAAAACAAGAAGCGATGTCCCTCCTTCACATGGGGAGCACTTCAGGGAGACTAATCCTGCTCGCCTGGTGTTTATCTTCTACAAAAGATAAAGGCTCAGGTCGATGCGTTTGCAATCTGAAAAGCGAATGTCAGGGAGCTACGGACTATGCAGCCATCAGCATTGCAATGGAGCCATTCGGCATCTTCATTTCGATCGCAACGATGATCAAAGCAACAAAGGTGCCTGCGCTGCTCCCAAACACTCATGAATCTCACTAGTCACGACCCAACCAAATAAGCTCCGCAGCTTTGCGCAAGCAACCTAAGGCCTTAGTATTGGTCAAGACGAACACAACATGACAGCTGCTTTGTGCTCTTCCTGGACTTCAAAGGACTACCGTGCCGGCAGTCCAGTCAAGCCCGCCAGCGATTCGGGGTTTGCCACATTGCAACATCGCACTGTTAAGAGTCCAAAGCCAGTCCGTCAAACTCACAGAGGCAACACACAAGTTGCACGAATGGACCCCACGGGGCTGGGCAAAACTTTTTCCTCCGAAAGATGGCCTGCCGCCTGATGAACCGCAGCGAAGACGAACGCGGGTAGCACATTGGGCTGGTTTAAAGGGAAACCAACGCCCACGAACACAGCGGGTTTGGGCTGTTTCAAAACCACGGGAACCCCGGCTTTTCCGAGACATAGTCCCCCAAGTCCCCAAGTCCCCAAGTCCCCAAGTCCCCACCCAGTCCCCAAGTCCCCAAGTCCCCAAGTCCCCAAGTCCTGAGGGCATGCCGCAGTTCACGGGAAGGAGAACGGGAACTGCCGAGCTTCAGAGTGGCCCGTGTTTCTGCACCTTCCGGTCAAGGAATCTTCAATTCTCGGCTGCTTTCTGCTCCCCTGCTAAAAGTGAATAACTTTTAGTGGTTTAATTAATGGAAAACACCAAAGTTGGCAAAAAGTTAGAGTCCCAACATCCCTTGGCAAAATGCAGACTTTGCCGCCACGGCATGGCTTCTTCCCGCGGCACCATCCCTCCCGCGCGGCGATCGAATCGAGCGAAAAATTGGGTCGTGGAAGCTGAGGTGTTGGGCCCTGGCGAAGACTTGAAGATCAGCCCCTACTCCAAAGACCCTCTATTTTCCAGGGTATCATGTCGACCCTCTACCAAAAACGGAGGTATGTACCATGGAAAAAACATGTTTTTCCCCAAAAATACCCGGAAAAGAAAAGCGGGTATTTTGAGTAGGGGGATCACAGCCAATTTTAGAACAAGATCCTTGTCCGGCTCCTTCTGTTCGTTCACAAGAGGCCGGAGGCCGTGTACAGTAAAGCCACACGGAATCTCCAAACCGAAGCCTCTCGATTCTCGCTCTACATGGCCGGCCTTCCAGCTCGCACGCGATGAGGTCTGGCGGAAGTGGTTCAAGGAGTTGCACTCCTGGTGGTGGCATTGGCTTGGAAACAGCCCATCCTCAGTTGGAACGTAGAGCACGGCGACGTTCCTTTTCGCCCTGCGAGAGATTCTTTTGGCAGAGACATCACAGAGTTCTATCAATGGGTCTGCCCCGAGTCCAAAAGCTCGTGCAAAACCACCCGCCCTCGACCCATGTCTGTTCAACCAAGTCTTCAACATGCCACACGTCAAAGCAATCAAAGACTGGGCCTCCACATCTAACACTTGGAGAAGTATGACAAGAGCTAAGTCAAAATCGCCTGCACATGAGGAACAACCAAGGGAATAAGTGTCGCTACCTCCGAGCTGCTTGGCCACAAGCCTTACTTGACATTCAGTCGCTGATGATCGCACCTTTTCCATGAAAATGTATAGCATACTGCCGCACTTTGGGGCAAGGCAGTTCACGCTCCGTTCAACGGAGCGTCCCTGCCAGTAATTTAATGGTACGTTCACTTGCCACACAGCAAGCAGTCGGCAACGCTTTCGTCCCAGCGCTTGGGCTCTGGCCGCTGCCTCTCCTCCCCCGACTCGTTCTTGCCATTCGCAGCACCGGTCCGGGCAGCGCCCGTGCGGGCGTCACGCTGCTGGGCCCTGGGCAGAGTGTCGCCCCGCGGAGCACCAGCAGCGGCGACACCAGCTCCAGCTCCGCCCGCAGCGCCCGCGCGAGGGTCCCCGGCCTGGTGGAAGTCCCCAACGTCCTGGAAGCTCCCCGCCTGGCTCTGCCGCTTCAGCTGCTCCACGCCCTCGTTCTGATTCTTCGCCTCCCGCTTCAGCTGCTGAAACTCCTGCCACAGCGCCTCATGCCCCTGCGACAGCCGCTGGAGATTGGAGGCCACCTCTCGCAGATCCGCCGGAGCCACGTGGGACGCCGGCGACGCCGACCCCACGGATCCCGCCGGAGGCGGCGACGCCGGACCGCGCGCCGGTGAGAGCTCTGAGGCCCAGAGGGCAGGCGACCGGAAGTTGGGGCTGCTCTCCGCTGCGGGCCGCGAGTCCTGGGGGCATGAGGCATCTGTGTCCGTCCGGAAAAAGTGACACGAAGCGACCTGAATTGGAGTCATCTGGATCTTGCCAGATTGCTGAAATTGGGACATGAACGCGAAAACCGGTGTTGCGTCTAACATGTATAGTCTAGATGCATATAGCTACACACAGACATGTCACTTTTGTCGGGTGAAAAAGAGAGAGAGAGAGAGAGAGAGAGAGAAAGAGAAAAAGAAGAACGAAAAAGTGAATACTGAGACAAAGAGAGAATCAGAGAAATGGAGAAAGAGGGAAAGAAAAAGAAAAGCGTGCTCCAAACTAAACTTCTTATATGTTTGAACCTTCCGCCCCCCGGCTCTGCCAGACTTTACTGGGATAACTTATACAATACAATAATGTGTGTATATGTGTATGTGCTATGTACGCTAATCACATAGAAAGATCCATCCCAGCATTCAAGTGCAATTCTGGATGGACATCCAAGCTGTTGCGGGCTCTCCCTTCTCCCTGCTCCCGTCCTTGGTGAACCGGAAATCCCCGGTGAAGGGGCAGGGCATGGCCCCCATCCCCAAGCCCCCAGTGAGAGGCGGCGGCACCGGAGCGGGCGCTCCCCGCACGGGCCCCGGCATCCCCGCAAAAGGCGGCGCCGGCGCCGGCGCCGCGAAGGCAGCGGGCGCGGGCGCCACTGGCGCCATTGGCGCCCCGCGCGCCGAGGGCGCGGCTGAATAAGATAGGGGCGTGGGCGCCGGCCGTGGCGCTGGAACCGCCAGTGGGGCCATGGCAGGCGCCAGCGGCATGGGGTTCCCAGACACCAGTCGCAGGGAGCCCATGCGGGGCATGGAGGGCATGCGGGGCATGGAGGCCACCGAAGAGCTGATCGCCAGCGATTCCGCCCCTTGCAGCCGCCCTGACAGCAGTCGCCCCCGTGACGCCGGCACCGAGGAATCCCGCGGGGTCCGCAACTGCTCTATCGGCACGACCAACGGCCCGCCGCTCGGGACCGGGCTCGTGCGGGTCACAGGCTCCACGAGCATTGGCATCGAAGCCATGGCGGTGCTTGGTGTGCAGACTGTACTCTTGACCCCTTGAATCCTTTCGTTTCCCCGCGTACGGCTCGTGTCTGCCCACGCTGGCTTGCCCGCTTCTGAGCCAAAGCGATTTTTTTCGGCAGTCGGTAGACCTCCCAGTCACCAATTCACACAACTGACTTCGTTTCACAGATTAATAGTCGTGATGATTGACATTCTCGGATCATCCATCACCGGTAGGGGTATATGTCAATTAGCTCATCAAGGTTGTTATCGGATCTTGAATTCCTAAATGTAAGACTGAATGATGCCAAAAAATTGTGTTTGGTCGCGCAACTGGGATGTGTCAAGACTCTGTCAAAGTTGGACTTCTTCCCCCCCCCTCCCCCCACCTCCCCCAACCCCCCCCCCCGGTTTGACTCCCGTGTCCGGTGCCTGGACCGGTGCTCAGGGTGGCAAGACCGCTCAGACCATGGTCGCGAACCTCGAGACGAGAGTGGCCGAGCCGCATCCAAAAACGCATGGAGTTCTCACCAGGATATAGAACCAACTGTAGCTGGGAGTTTGACCCTTAGAAACGCAGGTGACCAAGATTTGTTCATGGCTACAGATTCTTTCATGGCTACAAGTCTGTAACCTGCAATCGCGGCGAGAAACGCCCCATTTGGCCCGGCTTGGAACTGACATCCACGACTTCCGGTGAAACCAGCCACGCGCAACAAAATGGGGAACCTGCTACCCTGGCGGATGCTTGCAAAAGCATACTTAGGATCGTCCCCTAGCAAGCCCCTGCATACTCTTCGCTTCCAGACTGCCAACCTGCTGAGGGATTGCCTGCAAAGCAGAGGGCAACAAGCTACAAATACAAGGGAGACCCTTCACTGCCACACAGCCATCTGGCAAAATGCTCAGCACTTAGTTTGTTTCCCCCGGAACTTGGGGTATCAGTGCTGGCAACAAATTCTCGGCAATCACCCTCTCTTCAAGACGAAAGTGGACAGCTGTCCAAAACTTTGAAAAGTAAGGTGTAGCGGTAGTATGCGGATCGGCGTTCGCAGGCTGGACCGCGTGTCATGTGAAGAATGGGCGCAAAAAAAGCATGTGAACAACAATTCATACAACACGGATTTGGAATTTGTGGCTGCATGAAAGGCAAATTCAATCCTGAGGAATGAGGCTTGCTATGCTTGGGCGTAAAAGCTATTGCCAACAACTGCAAAAAAGGGTCCAGGATGTAAAAGCCTAATTCCAAAAATTGATAATGCAATGTTACAGCACTTTGTCCGCAGCTAGAGCAATTGAAATAGTCAAGACTGACTCACCAACTAGCCTGAATCGGCCTCAATTACTCTTGAATAAGACGAACGTCCTAAACCGAACCCATTCCAGGCACGGAATTAAACAACAATAATTCTAATCAGCTGCAGCCTAGTCTAAAAAACAGCGTCACTTGACATGTCGCCGCTGAGTGTCTCTTCGCAACTTGCATCTCAAGATCGGACTACCATGTGCATCCCAGCCGCCATGGAAATCCCGCAGCGGGCCAAACGGCCAAACACGAGCCAAACAGCTTCGGAAGCAAAGCCGAATCGGTACCGAAAACCGAAGGCCTGGGAAAGCGTCACTCCAAGGTACAAAATTGGAATCCCACGCTTCCAGCCCCGCAATCTGTCGCGAGGCCCGAGGCTAACATGTCCGGCTCTTTTTGGCGAGGAAATCCAATGTACCCACGAAGAGGCCCCAGGATTTTTGTTTTGACTAATCTGCCAAGGGGGCAGCCTTGCATTTCCTTTGCAAAGCCAGCCACAACTCGACTCTGAATTCTCAGACAGACCCCGCTATTTGCCCTCCCCAAAGTCGCCGGGCCTCCTCACAAAGACGGAGCTTCGCAGGCTCATCCTGCGGCGCCTGGCCGCCCCGGCGAACTGAAAAACCTTTGCCACGCAGGGCAAGCATGAACCTGACGCGCAAGGGTGGCAAGTGCTCCATGGTTGCAGCAGTCAATTTTAGGTCAACCTGGCGATTCGCCACAGCTGGGCGCGTGGCGATTCGCCGAATTCGCACCAAGAATCGGTTGCAGCCCGTAAAGATCCATAAGGTTCCGGTTTCATCTGTAAACCTCGAGAAGTTTTGAACAACCCAGGCCTCCCCCCGCCCAATGCCCAACTCATTCCCGCTGCACCTGTCCGACACCTCGCCCACGCCTCATTGAGCACATCGGCATGCCGGTTGTTGGCGTAGGGATTCCCCGCTGGGCCTGACAACAAACCGGCGCCAACGCAACGTCCAAAAGCCTTCCGCAGGCTTCGTAGCGCCCTACTTAAAAACAAATCTGGACGCCCCCAGCTTAACACCCCCAGCTTCTTGGATCCTTTCCAGCCAGTGGCCGCCCATCTCACGCGTCTTTGACAAAACTGGCAACCCCTTGCTCCAGTGCTCCAAAAGCATCTCTGCCACCTCTCACTGGGCAAAAAATCCGCCTGCTCTGCCCTTCTGACTACCCAGCACTTGTCTTCGGACATATCGTTGCTTCTCAACAGGTTTCATGGCGAAAAGATGTCGTCTATGTATGCCATCACATCAAGGATGCAAGAGGCCAAGGATGGCTTCTACTTCTCTTGGCTATGGGAAGTAGAATTATATGCTTGGAATGCATTTGGAAACATTGCTTCATCAAGTCCATGGTATGAAACTCTTTCAGGCGAAGATGGCTTTGTCTCCAAGCAAAGATACGAGTCACCCTTTCCCTCCAGCGTGATGCCGGTCAGAATCATCTTGTGTGACAAACAGTGACAGCATTCTGAACAAGCAAAAGCTCCACTACGGCCATAAGATGAAACATTGCAGGCCTCCGCAGCAGACAGCGAGACCAAAATACATGTGGTATGATAAACGGGTTGCCTATATTAAGAAACCCAAGGCCATGCAGTTGCTTTCGCTTGATAGTCGATTCAGTGCCCTCTGCTCGTTCAATCGAACGGGAAACAAATATTAATCTGCAAATGGTAACAGCCACAGGTGGCCGAACAAAGGCCCTCGCAAACGGGAAACAAAGCCCATCCAAACCAGTGCCAACTAGGTCTATCCAAACTCCAAACTAACCCAAAAAGAAGACCTCTGGTAACTCTCCGCTTGCGCCAACTCTCCGTCACCCCAACGCCCGACTCCCGCCTCCCATGCCGCCGCCGGGAAAGCGATCTGAGAATCTAGCGGCTGAGAGCGGCCAGCGGATCGCGAGCTGAAGGTCGCCGGCAGCGCCCTCCGTCGGCAAGCAAAGCTATGGGGCTGTGCATCTTCTTCATTTTTTTGTTCGGCCCACAAATGAGCAAGGGTAACTGTTCCAACACCTGGTGGGACATGTCGTCTTTTGTGGACCTTTTGAGCAACCCCCGGGCCTGTGGATCTAAGCGGTCAGGCGAATCAGTGAGCGGTCCTCTCACTGAACATATGGCTGTGGCTCACAAATAGGGGTCCAAAATGGACCCTGGTAAATGTGAAAGGTAGACTAAAACCTGCGTAACCCCAGCTGCTTCATTTTGACCCACAGCCATATCATGCTCAATGATTGCCACGTTTTGCTCGCTGCCCGCACTTCGAGTTTGCAAATCAAGGTTGCATCTTGAAGGACATTCCAAAGCATGGCTGGTGCCCCCTTGCCCCCACCTAGTGTCCTTTGTTATGCCGCTGCGTATTCAGGCGCCACCCCCCAGTCCAGCAAGAGCAACCTTGGAAACTGTGGAACAAATCCATCGGCACGCTGTGGGCCCTCAGCTGGCCGCATCAACTGGCGGCCACAGAGAAGCTGGAAGCTCTAGGAGTCTAGGATGCAAGGCCCCTCATTCGGCCGCCGGGGTGGAGCGCTGAAGTTGAACCCCCCCCCTGCCATCGGAGCCAACTGGCTGCTTGGCTGCTGGCTGCACTGGACCTGGAAACAGAAGCACCTGCCCACACAAGACCAACAAGCCGTTGGCCAAGCCGCCCCTGTAGCGGGCCCCACCCCGGCCGCTCTCTATCTTGCGGATTCTAATTCGCCGAGTCGGAGTTCTCCGGCTTCTCCTTGGCCTTCTTGAAGATGTCCCGGCTGGGAAGCCCCAGGCGCGAGTTCATGTTGGGCAAATCCCTGGAGCTTTTGCTGATGGACCGCGGGTGGATGTCCCGGTTCGGGGTGGTGTAGCGACGACGCATCGGAATCGGAGCCTGCGGGATGGCTCAAGCTAACTTGGCAGCCAAGGGACGCGTTCCTGTCTTCGTTGATGGTTGCTTTTTGGCGGGTCCGGCAATTCAACCCCAAGGTCGCCCAAAAAGCCCCTTTGCCCATGCCTTCCCTGCAGCCACCGCTTGAACTGTCGGAGACGCTGCCGGAGCCTCTCCTGTCACGGACCTCGGCGTGGCGGGGCGGCGCGGCGTCGAGGGGGCCAGAGCCGCGCGCGGTGAAGCCGCCAGCGCCAAGGCCGGCACCGCCGGTGGAGCCACGGGCGGCACAGGCATCGAAGCCTTCACCGGCGAAGCCACGGGCGGTGAAGCCGCCGGCGCCGCTGGCGGCGAAGCCGGGGGCAAAGCCGCCGGCGCCGCGGGCGACGCATCCACCGGAGCTGAATGAGAGACCACCGGGAAGAAATCAGGCCACACCGCTGGCGTCATGGGCGCCTCAAGAAACACACGTCTGGTCATTCCACCAGACCAAAATCAGAACCAAGCCCTCAACTGTTCGACCAAACCTGGCGAGGGTGTTGCGAGCCTTGTGCCCTGCCATTGGCTCAATACGGGTGGTGCAAACCTGCGTGGCTTCCTGCTTTGGACCTCAAAAAATGCGCAAAGGTTCTCGTCTTGAGAGCGCCTCCAGGTCGACCAAATCCACCTTGCGGTCTACATCGGGAAGAGGAACAGTCTTCGAGCGCCTCATCACTGGATCCTCCGGCAAGAGGTACATTCCGCAGTCCTGCGGAGCAAAACAAAAACTTCTTGGCTTGGCTCAGGGCATGCTGGACCAACAAGCACAAATGACACTGTCTAACGTTGTGGGCGTTTTGAACCCCGCCTCCCCCGCCCATTTCATCCCTGTGGGGGGTCAGACGATCTGGCCTTCCAAGCAGCTCGCCTGGAAACAAGCGAGATGACATGGCCTCTTCCACGCAACTTCAAAGTGTGTCAAGCCCGAAAAGGGTACTCTCAAAATAACGCAAACCTGTATGGGCCCCTCAAATCATGGTGGGTGTCCTTTTGGTTTGCTTCAAAAACAACGCCGACTAGGTGGCTGGTTGGTTGGTTGGCTGGCTGGCTGGCTGGCTGACTGGCTGGTTGGTTGGTTGGTTGCCAACAAACGGAGATACTCTTGAAAAACGAAGAGAAACCCAGAGAGAGAGAGAGACACAAAAAGAAAAAGAGAGAGAGAGAGAGAGAGAGCGAGGCAATGGACCCTAGATTCCTGATTTTCGATGCACTGTGCAGGCAGCATCTTTCTGTAGTGGAATGGCACAAGGTGCGCGTGCGAGGAAGAAACAAAACGATTGATGGAAAAAAGAAACAAACAAACAAAGAAACCAACGAGAGCAAGCAAGCCAGCCAGCCAGCCAGCCAGCAAGCAAGCAAGCAGGCAAGCAAGCAAGCAAGCAAGCAAGCAAGCAAGCGACCAAGCAAGCAAGCAACCAAGAAAGCGAGCAAACACATGAAACAAAAAAAAAAGCGAACAAACAAACAAACAAACAAACAAACAAACAAACAGGCGAGCAAACAAGCAAACAAGCAGATAGACACACAAACAAACAAACAGATAGACACACAAACAAACAAACAAACAAACAAAACAAACAAACAAACAAAACAAGCAAGCCAACCAACCAACAAAACAACCAAACCAACCAATGAATAAAGAAACCACAGCACGGCAAAGCAAGAAGGCAAAACACCACAAAGCACAACAAAAAGCTCAACTAAAAACAGACAAATGTGCGCCTGCCCGCCCGTCCTCCTTCTGCTCAGGCAAGGAAATAGTTGACTTGCTCTCCTGCAGAAAGAGAAACCCTCGCCTCCCAAAACCAAACATGGGATCTTGCTCAGGGTGCCTGGTCACCTGCCAAAGGAAAACCAACTCCGCAAATTCCCTTTCAGATGAGGGGGCCTGGCTCCCTCAACACAGGTTAACATATCTGGAAACGGAAGCGCGCCTGTTTTCGTTGCTGCGTTTGATTTGATGCTGGCGTCATGCTCGAACATGTGAGTGGTGTTTGTTCCCTTCAAATCGAATTGACGTATCAAGCCCTTCCGCGAAGCTTCCGCGGTATGAGGGTGGTTTCCGTATAGCTGCTTCCGCGTGCCTTCCGTGGGCAGGTTGATGCTGGAAACTGAGGAAGGTAGTTTCCGCGAGGGAATTCGTGCGCACGGTTTGCTAGTAAACGTGCTGGGCACAAACCGCCCAAACCACATCAAACCACTCTGCACTGCTGGCTAGCACTTCTTTTGCTCCGACGGAGACGTGCAGGATGCAGGGTGGGCGCTAAAACGGGGAAGACAAGTCAAAGCAAACGCAACAGCAGGACTCAAGTCTGGAAAACGCAAATCAACAACGGAAGAAAACACCTTCCGCAAACCTTCTGCGAACCTTCCGCGACTGCAGTGCGGTGCTACCTCTTTTTTGATATGTCAACACCCATACAGGTTTGCTGGAGCGGGAACAAAACGCCACTCCTTTGGGTCGAACAGAAATCCCGTCACCATGGTGTTGCCAGTATGGTACTGGTACACATATTAAATTCTGTGAATTCCTACAACCTGCAATCTTCTATTTCAGGCTCTCGCCAAATTTTACTATGAACCTGTGGAAGAGACAAAGGTCCACAAGGCGTAGAAGGTTATCCTCTTTGTTCTTCGACCATGTCACTTGTCTCTCCGTGACGGAGTGAGTCTATGCCCTCCGTGTGCTGTCTCTGAGCCTGCGAGTGTTTTGCTTGTGTGCGTGTCTGCGCGCTGGTTCGTTAGTGCTTGTGTGTCTTTGTGTCAAGAGCTCCAACTGCGTGTGTAGCTGCGGATGACATGAGTCCGTGCAAATGTGTCCACCTCAGTCGCACCTCAACCAGTTGCGGTCGTATAGGCTGACAACCCAAAGATGGCGCCGCACCCACCTCGAAGAAAGGGCACTGGGGGTAATGTGGGGAATCTACAAGACAAGGAGGAAGAACAAGGACACACACACACAATAAAAAGAGACGCTTCGTGGAAAGAAAGTCTCCACTCTTGGCCTCTTTTTGCCCGCCCCCAAACCCCCCCAAACCCCCCCCCCAAACCTGGCCCTTCCAGAGTCCTGCGGCAGATCCAGCAGGCACGGCACCAGCGCCGGCGCCGCCTCCGTGCCGGGCATCCTGGGCACCTTGTCGCAGTCCTGCGGCGCCTGCCGGATCTGCTCCTGGCGCCATCGATCGAGCGGAGCGAAGGCTTCGGGTGTGAGCGGGGCGAAGCGTTTCGGTGTCCGTTTTGGTGGAATGTAGATTAGCTTCCCTGGTCGTTGATTGAACCACCAGGTAAACCAGGAATCGCCAAACCTATTTTGCAACCAAATCAACCAAAAAGGACGCGAAGCGTTTTGGAGCTGAGTGTTGTTGGTCTTCTGCGAGGGGAAGATGGTGGTCCCCCAGAAAGCGTGCCCCCAGGGTTTTTCATTTAAGGGAAGCCCCGAACGGTTCAAATTCCCAACACCCGGAAGGTCATTCAGCGAGCACCAGCAAGCTCAGTGGATCAAAGTGGAAGCAAATGAGGCTAGCTGACCAGGGTGGACCATTCGACCTCCTTTAGATGCGCAACTTGGGACCCTCGGAAGCTTGTATAAACGACTACATCCAGAGTCGACTATCTTGACACTGGTGAGAAAAGCATCTACCGGCCTGCGCAACACAGCACAAAGGAGAGGCCTGGAAAATGCTCTGTGAAGCCAACATGGAGCTGACACAAGGCTAGAAGTTTTTCTCGGATGGACTGCAAGCCAAGACCGGTTTCTTTTTTGTGGCCCGGGACATGGACAGATCGGCGCGGGGCTGGTGAGCAAGAAAGCCAGCACGAAGCTGATTTGATGAAAGCAATAGCAAGACAGCCAGCACAAAGCTGAGTTGATGAAGCCGCAAGCAATCTGAGCACACCAGACGATTCGATGGCTCGGCCAAGGTCAATTCGATGGATCCTTTGGCATAGGAACTGAGATGAGCCACTCGGAAGGAATGTGAAATTTGATTTGCATGCTTCTTAGAAGAACCCCATCTCGTGCAGCCCCCAAATAAGAGCTTTGAGAGAAAGCAGGAGTCATTGCCTCGACGAAGATTACTGTGCCAGTCAATTATGCCGCTGGTGGGGATGCTGGCTGCTTGTCACCGTCTGATGATACCGGTGATTGATTGCTTTTTCAAGGGCTGACCACTGTCTGATCAGGACAAATGCAGCGGCAAGAGCCAACTTGATGTTTGTTCCGCCCCGAAAGCGAACCAACAGCCAAGCTTGGCACAACCCTTCCCTGCCTGAAACCAGTCATTGTACTCCTCTTTCTTGGTGCGCTTGGTGGTCCCGGTTTGAATGCGCCGTGCGGCCACAAACAAAGCTGTCCACAGCATCAGGAAGGAATATCGAGCCGCCATACAGCAATTCTGGTCTGACACCAGCGCAAGCCAGTGTTCGGCTGGAGTGTCGTAGAGCTTAGCGTCCCTTCGGCCCAGAAACAACAAGGTCCTGCAGAGCCACCAGTGAATACTCAGCGCCAGTGCCGCACTCCCAGCCCAGGCAGTGAGTACACCCATGGACGACTTCTTATACCGGCTGCACACATAACCGCCTAGAACTCCGGCAAATAAGTCCAACCACGTCCGTGAGTGCGTCGCATTGGGCGCAGCATGGAAGGAGCTGAATTGGGTGAGATGCAGTGTAAAAATACCTTAGTCCGAGAAAACGCAAGGTGGGCAAGCTCCATTGTTTTGTGCATGATCTCTCGCACAGCCTCTGAGTTGGGCTGGCAACTCTGTGGCGATAGAAAGAAAAAAAACACTTGCTCCCAGGAAAATCCTTTCAAAACAGAGGGGGTCGTCAAAGTTGGAAAAGCCATAAGCTGTTACGAGTACATGATGGTTCCAGGGCGCGCTCGGAAGGAAATTGAAATGGATATAAAACATGGAACCCTCCGAAACGCTTGAGCATAAAAATCCCCACGGCTAAAAATAAACCAATAACGTGTCCCAATTAAGAGGCATACCCAAATCACCCCTCCGAAACGCTTGGGCATAAATCCCCACGGATAAAAATCATCCGACAAAGTGTCCCAATTCAGCCTCGAGAAACAACTCAATCGAGAAACAACTCAGGCGCCGGCTCGCAAATGCCCCGACAATGTAGGAGCCGGCATCTGGAAACAATGCCTAGAGCTGGAGGCTGTCTTTCTGGGCACTCAATTCTACTTTCTAAACCGGAAATCAAACAAAAACACCAAATGATCCCCGAAACAAACATGACACTGCAAAAACATCAGACTTCAAATGCGCACGTCTCCTCCATTTTCACAGCTCTCCCCTGCTTATGTTCCAATCTCATCCGACCCCTGTCGCAATCACATGAAGCACTCGACCAAATCGCCGGGCCACGAAAAATGTCCCGCCATGGCATGCGACGGCTAGGGTGAACTCCATGGATGTCTCCGAGTCCGGATGCCTCGGGCTAGCCATCTTTCATGGCCCAACTTTGCACCAAATCCGGTTGGCCGTGTCTCAACACACAATCAAAGCTCGAGAGAGTCGGAAAAGCGCGATTCGTCGGAAGCCATCGTGGAGGGGGGACCGGGGGAGGGGGGAGCGTACTTTTGAGACGCTGTCACTCCTCGTCTCCCCTTTGGGCTGCCTCCGCGAAATCGCGAAACCCCTCGTCGCGCCTCAAAGTCAAGGATGGCGCGGTCGTCGGGTGTAACGCCCAGCAAATGCTAATCGCTGCTCCCAGCAGGAACCATGAAACGGCCTGTGCGGAAATGCAATCAGCGCGGCAGCAGGCTGCCAACACTTTTGGTCCACACTTTGTCAGAACCTGCAGTCCACAAGAAGTGTCCGATCTTTCGTGTGTCCCTTAAAGTCTTTTCAATTGCTCAATTGCCGGTGGTCCACCCGGATTTGGACCAAATGCCTTTCCTCCCACCCGTTCGCAGCTCTGCGAAGCACTCCGTCCAAGCTCCCAAGCTCCCCAGCTGTCCACCCTTTGGCAAGAAGAAAATGCGGATCAAGAACCCCAACCAGTGCTCTGCGTCAACACTTAAGATGCCTTCACGCTATGCAGCATGCAACTCACGGACAGCTCGGTCAACAAACTGCAGGCGACGATTGCGTGCGTAAAGACCGGATGAGCTCTTCAGCACCCAAGACTGCTTACTGTCGAAACAAGTTCCAGTCGCTCCCTGCTCCCTTTGCCGGGAAATCCTGCAGCGATCCTTTCCGCAGGATGTACCCTCTTGTCCTTCAACATATCAACATGGAACTTGGCAGGGTCCCGATCCCCTTGATTGGAAGGGGAAACAAACCACCCGAAACGTCGAAAGGTTCCATGTGAAACGGGTGGGAGGGTAACCTAGCTGGCCCCATCATTCTACAGTACCAGGATCAAAGTCACCCCCCAAGTGGTGGGTGAAAAGGAAAATGCAAATGTCTGACCTTGATACCCCAAAATCGTCAGAAACGATGACCCAAGCCTACAGGCACCAACGTTTCTCCTCAAAACACATGCCCGGCCTGGCAGGGCTTGGGGCTTTCCACAAGCAGCCAACCCCCACGGCGGAGCGACCACGCGGCAAAGGCGCAGCACAGCGCCGCCTAGGATAGCTGAGACCAAAACGCGGCAAAGTAGGGGAAAACAAGTGTGAAAGTAGGGTGAAAGTAGGGTGAAAGTAGGGTGAAAGTAGGGAAAGCCTAAGCAATCCGGACCAAAAAAATCAGATTGCCTGGTTGGCAGAGACGAGCTTGCTCAAGTTTCGCGAGAAGCCGCCAGAAGGAATTTCATGCGAACACTCAAGGACGTGGACTCCTCTGGTATGCCGCCCCTCCAATACAGAGTTGGGGAAGTGCGGGTTCCAAGAAGTTTCGAATCGGAAACAACTTCGCTTCGTGGCTCTCGTTCCATTGAAGCAAATCCCGACCCTCCTGGTTTAAAATGGCCGTCCAAAAAAACGGCCCTCGAGCTCTGCGCAGTCCATGAGAAAATGCTCTCCTTTGCCGTTTCTGGCAGTGCCAAATCATCAAATCCTTCTCGCACTGAGTGCTGGCAATTTGGTTCGGCTGAAACCCGCTAGCTCGGATCGCCTGCGTTGACCAGCCCCCTGGGGGCGTGGGTCGTAAAGTCGTAGAGTGCACCAGTCTTCAACACGAACACTGACCAGCGCCTTGCTAATGGCTGAATCAAGCTGACCTCTTGGCTCATCAGTTGGGCATGGTGTGATTCCCTCGATCATGGCTAGATTCCTCCGATCTTTCGCTATCAGAACGAAAACCACAACACGGCCAGAATCGCCTTCTCTTGCTGACTGAGAGTGGCGCATGATGCCCCCGATTTCTTCCGGACCATACTCCCGTGGAATTTCACCTGTTATCACGAAGCATTTTCCGAAACACATATTTGGGTATGGGTCAAAAAAATGTCACCGCCAGGAAACCGCCAGGCTTTCGTCCATGCTTCCATTTACCAGGGTTTGCGCCATTTTGGGGTCACCCCATTTTCGACCCAGCCATTTCGCGTCGGCCCGGCTTCCCTCCGGCACGGTACCCCCCAGTTGGCCTCTCCATGGTACCCCACGGCTTGCTGGAAGACTTGGCCAATGAGAGCCCCTGGGCGAGGCGATTCTTCGAAAAGTATGGAAAAAAAAAACCACTGAAAGGGGACACCCCCCGATCAAAATCAACCAAAAGCTTATTCAAACCGGGTTAACAGTATTAAAATGGTCGTAATCCCAGAACCATGCTTCAAGAATTGTCCGAAGGCGGATATCCGCAACTATTTCTGACTGGGATTGTCCCTAACCTTCATCTACCCTTTTGAGCACGTGGCTCGTGTCAAAGAGCTCAAGGATAAGGTGCAGGAACGTCGAAAAGCACTCCACGATTGCTGGATGTGTTGCGAATCTACGCCTGTTGCTGCACATGCTCCTCCCCTTGACCAAAACCAATACGTTTGTCCTGCTAGAGGCGTGTTCTCCTTGAGTTATGCGAGTACTGTAGTTGGAAAGAGGCCCAATAACCGATGATATGGAGGATTGCAGTAGACGACGCGATGTTCAAAGAAACAAAAAGTAAAAGTTTAGCTCATCAGTCTTCAGCAACATTCAGCTCGGCCCGTTGGACACTTCTGTGTTTCTGAGAAAAGATACTCCCAACTCATGTTGCGAATGCCAGAAAATCGACTGCAGACCTGAAGAAGGTAACAATGTCTGCATGGTCCACTTGGTGGGTGTTGGTCACAACGCCAGAGCACGTGGCAAAAGCGGAACAGAAAATATAAAGAGAGCCTTCATGCGAAGCCTTGCGATAGCCATCCTAGAACAAGTTCCAGTCAGCAAATGCTTAAACCATGGCACGGTGTTGAGAAAGTACCCGAAGTACCCCCCCCCTTTAGATCAAATCCCCACTTTTTGAGTCTGCATCGTTGTCCAGCCTTCGCCGATGAACCAACGCGGAACCTCAAAAATCAAAAGAAGAAGGCCAATAAGAACAATAATACTAACAGTAATACTACATAGTAATAACAATAGTAATGGGTAATGACAATTTTCCAGGATAATGATACGCTCCTTCGCCAATGCGGCATTTCGGAGTCGCCGGCGAGTCAGTGGCCCCGCCCGCCGCGCCAAGGCTCTCAACTCAAGTGCCCAGATCGTGTTCGGCTCCTGGGCCGCGGACCGAATTTCCGCCAAACGCTTGTGGCGTCTGGGTTCAGAAGTTCAGAAGGGGGGAGGGGGAGGGGGGGGAGGACTAAGAGACTTCTTTTTTTTGGGTTGCTCGTCGGAACTCTGTCAACGCTGCAAGGTTCGAAACTAGTAGCGTTTCCTATCAACCAGGAAACCATATAAATTCGTCCATATCAGGTAGACGATGTTTGTTTGCCCATTGTCTGTCTAACAGGCAACATCATCCTTGCTTGACATTGCTGCTTTCACAACCGCTCTGTGGAAAACGCTGTCTTGGTATGTACCCTGTCTACCCTTTGTCAGAAGGTGGTCCATGCTTTTCTCTTCAGCCGTACTGTTCTCTGCTCCTTCAACTATGACCGCAAGCTGCTTGGCTTCACGTGACCCACGTAAAAGTAGCAAGACAGCTGGGCTTTTCAAACGAATCCAAACACAGCATGCGGCATGTAAAAAAACAAAAAAAAAAAACGGATCAGGCCGAGGGGCAACTTGTTGCCTTCCTCTGTGACTGACGTTCTTCTCGGTGAGCAAGGCTGGATCAGTCAAGTCCTTACAAGCTCCAAAACGCAATCCATCACCATTTGGTTTGCTGTGTTTTGTTTGGCTTGCTTGGCTTGGTTGTTTCTTTGTTTGGCTGGCAGGTTGCTTGCATGGTTGGTGTATTCGGCTGGCGGTTTTGGGCAAAGCTATGCCGCCACAAGATCCAATGCTCCAAGGCGCGATGCTCATCGACATGAAGGCACTGAGGGCCAACAGGCAGAGCGTAAGAAAAGCCGGCATCTTCTTCTTTGCTGACCATCTCCGGCAAGTTCCCCATCTCGAGCAGCCAAAGGTCCCAGAGGTCATGGCGTGAATACAATGGGCCAGGGGTAGGCTAACATGTGAAGTTTGGCCGCCTGTTGAAACACAGAGTTGGGCGGGTTCAAACATTGGGGAAGTCCGCACCCTGCCCTTGCTAGGTGCCATGCGTATGAGGGAAAAATTTGAAATGCAAGCCGTTTTTTGACACTACCTGAACCAGCGAAAGGCGACAGGCGACCAAATTCACAACTCATCTGTTCCTAGTCAATCAATGCAACACAAATCGCAGAAGTAAAGAAACACAAGCGCATTGAATCTCTTGCAGTCGCTCCGGCACATTGCATCCAGGACAATTCTGTTTCAACCTTCAGCCCTGACACAGAATCAAAGGGCGTGCAACACCGGCAACAGGGCCTACAACAGAGACTACAACGAGGCCTACCACCCGTCCGTATCATGTCCACGTGAAAACTTTTCGGCCGCCAAACACATTCCTAAAACACACAATGGCTGAGGCAATTTGTGCAAACGGTGTTTTGTAAACGTGTGTGTGTGTGCGGAGTGGCAGAATACCCTGTCACCACATTAGAATGCAGGGGGGCAAGGCCTCCAGCGATGAACCTTGCCCAACGAAGCTGCATCACTGGAGGGGTGCAAGGCCTGATCAGCCTTGTGTACCTGCACTCTTGAGTGATTCTGAAAGTTTTTTTGGCCCTCTTCTTTCGCTCGCTGTGTGTGCTTCATGTTAGAATCTTGATCACTGCTTCAATCCGAAAGGGAACATGCAGTCCAAGATAAAAGGGTGCGACCGACAAACATGTGCGCACGCTCTTTTTCTTTATAAGGCGTTGCTTGGAAGTTGAGGCTCAGAGGTGCAGGGGGAAAGACATCGCGTGTCCTTTCCCCGTATCTGCACCCCTTTGCGGAGCCTCCTCATATGCCCCCGCGGTCAACAATGCGTGTTCGACCAGGCGCCAGGTGTGTTACCTGTGAAGCGTGAAACAATCGAAGGCATTGATGGCGGCAGGATGCAATGTGGCATCCGGCTGGTGTGCAATGCGGCACACGGTGCCAGGTTGAGACATGTCGAAACAGTCATATGGCTGCTGGATGCAATGCGTGCATCCGGCTTATGTGCAATGGGTGCCAGGCTGAGGCCTGGCAGTAGCTACAGCATGCGGGGCTGGTTGTGCACCGAGCCTTTTGGGCGGCAGCTGCGGCTGGGCCCTGGCGGAAATATTGCATGCCATCGCTGGTGCGAGATGCGGCTCACGGTGCTAAATTGAATTTTGTGACCTCTGCAGACAGGTCATGGTATGCACCGTACCTCTGGGGCACCAGCTGCGGCTGGGCCCAGGGAAGTTCACCTGAGTGTTGACAGGGTGGGAGGGTGGGCGCAAAAAAGTGAGGGGTAACCCTCGCGCAAGTCCCTTAGGTGGCTTGAAGCAGAAAACGGCAACGCGTCCGAAGATTCGATCAAGATTAAAACATATGGGAAAATAAAACCCTAAACGTTAGAATCTTGATCACCGACCGACAAACATGTGCGCACGCTCTTTTTCTTTATAAGGCGTGGCTTGGAAGTTGAGGCTCAGAGGTGCAGGGGGAAAGACATCGCGTGTCCTTTCCCCGTATCTGCACCCCTTTGCGGAGCCTCCTCATGTTCCCCCACTTCAGGGTTCCAAGCAAACGGCCTAATCTATCACCCCCTCTTCAGAGCGTTTGCGAAGCACTCTTGCGCCGGCCGCCACGGGGTCGGGCGAACGCAGTGATAGCCTGCGTTGGTGGGGCCAGAAATCATGCGGGCGAAAACGAAAGCGAGCTTGCGGCTTGCTGTCGAATGCGGATGTGTTGCCGCGGCTGAGCTGATCGGCCCACACGTTGCGCTCGCCTGGGATATGCGAGGCTAGCACTGACCATTTGTGCTTGTAGGCCCATGCGGCGACTAATTGCACAAATTCGCAAGGAACATGCTGTGGTGAACAGTTTGTTCACCCCAGCTTCTGATGCGGTATTATCCGTGCCGGAAGGCATGCATAAGCCGTGCACTGCTTGTCCCTCGGCTGTCCAAGCGATGCGCATTAGCGCCAGTTGGGCCAGGGTTTCGAAGCACGCTCTGTGGCGCTGAGCCTCCTTTGTGAGGCACGGCCACTGCTTGGAAGTTCCACGTTTCTGCAAACCAGGAGACGGAGCGGCTGGAGATAAACCAGCCACCTATGCCGAGATTGGCTTGCTGCGCAGCGGGCATGCCAAATCGGCTGAAAACACTGAAGGAGCCACTCAATGTTAGCTTTGCTTGCCGCGGACAAGCGCGTGGGCTCGGCAGCTGGGTCGGCTATGCGGAGTTATGCTGGCTTATGGCTGGGCACGATGCGTGGCAAGTCGGAGGAGCTGCGTATTGAGGTTTGCTGATACTCTAAGACCCTGGAGCCAAGCGGCATAAAAATGCCGTGCACGGGCAAAGCTAGTACAGCTTTGGCGTTTAGTGCCGACAGAAATGCAGGCCACAGGCGTGCGTGCACGGATATCATGCATCCTGGTGGCGAGTGCAGATCTGCATATAACGGCGCAAGCCAAGACCTCAATTCCAGGCTTAGGCTGGTGGCCCAGATGAGCAGCCCGAGGACTTGTTCCAAAAGCTTTCTTCTGAGTCTTTGGAGCGGAGCACCAAGTCAGGCAGTCTTGGAATTGCACCTTCTTCCAAGAAATGGGCGCACTAATTGCTGCAAAGAATATGACAACTAGTGCCAGTTGCTAATGCGCATCTGGGCGGTGCAGCGCGGCCAAGAGGTCATCCACAAACAACCAAGCTCTATGCGGGTGTGCTGACAGGATGCCGTGCAGCAGCCTCAGCAAGAAAGCTCCTGTGCGTTGCCACCAGTATGCGGAGAACCGTGCTCCGAAGTGGCACACCCGGTAATGGTACAAAGTGTCTGCGAAGCGAAACAGGAGCAAGCCATGTTCGCTAGGATGTACCTGAATTTGCTTGTGTGCGGCTTTAAAATCAAAACTTGCGCCTATGAAAGAAGCATGCGCGTCTTCTGGCATGAACGCGAGGCGCACGTCGGATGCCATTGGCAGGCTGACGCGTTCTGGGATCTTGCACTTGGGGTTCACCCCGCACACTGTGCTGTCCAGGACCAGGCGTGGTTCCTTCCCTTCTGCATGCACCACATTGAGCCCACTGCAATTCCTTTATTCCAGTGCCGCCTGGCCTGTTCTCTGGACATCTCTGTGCGGACGACCCACCCATTGGAGATTTCTTTATCCAAAAGGGCAGACACTGTGTTGGGCTCTGCTTCGGCGGCTTTCCAGTTGCCCATGCATTCTGTGAGCTCGTGAGGCAGGTTGGCGTGCTCTTTGAGCGGCCATTGCATGCTACGGGGCAATTCGGATAGGGCTCCTGTGGGCACACCTTCGGAGAGCAATGGAAGGAGTTTGATGTCCGGGTCATCCGATGCGGAGGCCAGCGCAGACAGCCGGTACGGCTGGCCGTTGTCGGGAGCCAGGCTGAGGTTTACTGCCGCGAAAGCAATCAGCGCCCTGGGCCGACAAGGGTGGCTCAGGTGTGTCCGAGCTGACGTGGGCGAGAATTTTGGGAATCAAATTTTGTGTTGTTGCCCACCGCAGCCAAGCGTGCGCTACCGTTCCCAGCGGGTGACTGGGCTGGGGTACTGAATGGTCTGCGGTGGAACGCACGCCGGCTTCATCACAGATTGTGAGTCTGTTGGGATGCGGGCTACGGATGCAGGGTTTTTGAAGCTCGCGTACCAGCGGGTCGCGTCGAACTTTGAGTGCCCAATGCGTGACGAGGCTTGCGGCCAGAGTCGCGGGATATTCTGCGGTCAATGCGCTGAGGAATTGGCCCGAGGCGCTGCGCACGCCTGCGATGCTAGCGCGCTTTTTTTGGTGATTGCAACGCGCTGCTACATGCTGGATGCATGGGTTGTTTGAAGCGAAACACCAAGATTTTGCAAAAGACATGCCGCGCTGGCATGCATCCACCCATGCCAAGTGTCCGTGGAAGACTTTGAGGCACTGAAAGTTTTCCGGCTCGAGCCATGCCATGCTCGAGGGCGGTTGCTCAGAGACTGCCACGCCTCCTTGTGTGGCAACTGCTTTGAAGAGTTCTCTGCTCCTCCTGTGGATTTCCCTGCTTTGTGCAACGCGCGATGCTTCTTCGGGAGACAAGCCAGGCACGCCGTGCATGCAGGTTGGAGTGCGCAAGGCCTTCGGTCCTCCGGGGCGGAGTTTCAATCTACTGTACTCCTTGCACGGCGGAGCTAGTGTAATCAGGCTGACGATGCCTGACCAAGAGACGCGCAGAAGCAGTTCAAAGCATGCATCGTCGAGTATGTCGTGCTCTGAATTGGCCTCTAGGTCAAAAGCCTCGAAACGCGAGAGGCCTTGCTTGTCGGCAGCTGCTGAAATGGGCGCATGGATTCCTGCGAAAACATCCAAGAGGAATCCTCCTTTGATGTGGGGCAGTATGCGCTCCTCAGCTGCGCGTGCAATGTTGGGCGGGCCATCGGAGTTGCCTGTCCTATCCCTGGCTGCAGGACGGTGCGTTGGCGCAGACAGTGAGGGCTGGAGCGCCTCGTTCGCGGGCGAAAAAGCATGCGTCGCAGGCGGGCTTGCGGTGCGACTTGGGTGGGCAGCGCCGAGTGCTACCGGCTGTGGGATTGCACTGTCCGGAGGAGCGGCCGGAGCGGCCTCCGGACTGTTTCAGGTGCGGTTGGAAGGATGTTGCGAAGCCCCGTGCGCTTGCTGGCAGCCTTTTATGGCGCATACATGCGCGAACTGGCAGTTGTCTGTTTTGCAGAGGCCCTGTTGGAATCTGCGGCAGATTGGCTTGCCTTGATGCGTTGCCGCCCAACTGTCGCGTGTCTTCCCCTTTCCTTTCCCTTTACGCTTTTTTCTGGGTGGTTCCGCCTTAGGCGGCTTGGGAGCTGGGCATTTGCCGGATCGTGCTGGATTAGTCGGTCGCTTGGCGGGCGGCGCCGCTAGGGGCTGTCTGCTTGTTCTCGGGCGAAGCATGAGCAGGG